CCCCGCCCATCTACTTGGATATGTTTAGGTGTTCGTATAATAGAAAAAAAATTGATAGAATGATTTACCTCCTTTGAAAAATTGAGATTTTTATTATTTAGAAAAGGCTCCAACCAACGCCGTTTGTCGTGAAACTCCACCATTCATTTTTCCATTTATTTGCATAGAATAGTATCAGGTATACTCTTATTATTTTTGAAGTATTTGACTCCCGTAGAATTTGACCCCCATATGACACCCAGATAATCCCCATATGATCGTATTTTTTTTTTTTAATTTATTAAATGTATTCATCTTTCAGGATTATTTACAGCGATAGTTACATGTAATTTGTTGAAAATTTAATACATCATGTCTCCGGTTGTACGCTCTAAATTTGAATTTTACATTTTTGGATGAAGTTGATTATCTTGAGGTGTTCTGGCGTAGTTGAGCCCAGGGAGCCTATTCTCGAGTGGATCGGAAATATTTCCGAGCTCCCACGTGGCTCCGCAGACGGAACGCCTATGTGATTCCTATACGCAATTCGTATACGGTGCCACTTCCATAAACAAAAATATTTCCGATCCACTCGAGAATAGGCCCCCTGAAACGAAGCTATGGAGTAAGGGCTCTGGAGTTTTAGGCTCATATGACCATATATGAAATAAATATAATAATTCATTCTCACTTGCATCATCAGGGTCACAGATGAGGGTCAGAATTAGGGTCACAGTAAAGATCAGAACCAGGAGTGTCTCCTGAATTTTGAAACTATTGGATTTCATGGAACGAAATAGTATTCAAAAATTGAACTCTACACAGCTCGACCCATTTCAGTGTCACCACAAAATTCTTCAGACTGAGGTTCTTAGAACTGTGTTTATATTACGTGGTGACCGCATGGCGGGCGACTACGAATACTATGAACAAAATATAGAACAAAGGATAAAGAGAAAATGCATTCCAAGTGGTCCAATGTAGCGGTCCTTATTTTTCTGAAGTTAGTCTCCGATTGCTGGAGTTTAGTTTAGAGTAAAGATCGAGATGCATCTTCTACGTGCGACTGAATAAATAGTCACAGTCAAATTAAATTCACAGATTGATTAATTCAATCCTACCCATAAATCCAATAGAAACCTCCTTATTTTTTATTATATAGAATAGATGTGCTCAGGAAAATTTGATAAAAATCAAACCATCCGATTTAACAATTAATTAGTATGATACACTCATTTCTATTATCCCATGACCTGAAATCAATGATTAAAATCGATGGTATTGTGACTGTATAAATCAGAAGGCTTCCGTCCGAACTCACCATCTTTTAAAGTGTATTTTTCGCCCAGCGAATACTCTACGGGCTCCATGTACCACCCAAAAATGAAGTAAATTGAGACCATGAGGACACCGAAGGCGGTAGTCCTGAACCAATAGCGTCGTATCATATTTGAAAGCTTGTTTGCACCCCCTATGCCGCATACGGTCCCAGAGCATCAACTAGTGAATTCCTCGATGAAATACCTTTTTTTTGTCAATTGAATTCTCTTCTTTCTTCGATTACTAAATTTCCTTCTTCTAGAAAGTCCTGGCTCATCATCGAAAATAATATCAATCTCATCTTTTTGAAATTTCAAAATCAAATTTTGAATAACGATAGCGTCGCTGGCCGTCTCTGATAGGAATCTGAAATTAAATATTAGATGTGTGAAAGAAATACTGTGAATTTAATCAATTTCCTATCAATAAAGTAAACGAGTGTAATGATCGCAATCACACGTCTTCTTTTACTAAACGGAGAGAAAATTAGATAAAAAGTAGCTAGAAAATCATGACAAATTTTACTATACGAATGGTAATCGTGGAGCGAAATGTAATTCAGTGAAAAAATACTGGTATTTAGTGGATTTTTTACGATTTTCTGGGCAAAAAAACATTTCTATTGATGCAAAAATTATTCTCCTGTTTACACGGCGAGAAATATTCAATAGAAATTACGTATCTCTTCCGTAATTGTGGAGCGAGATATGGTTGTAGGAAATTTTACGGAACCGTCACGGAATTTTTCCAGAGCGTTCCATAATTTTTAGCTGAATCGTCTGTGAAAAATTAGGCTACCGTGACTTAAATTTTTCGAATCGATTCCGTAATCAATGAGCGAACTGTGAGCTTCGTAATTTTTACTGAACATTTCTCTCCGTGTAGTAAAATTTCCCATACCGGTAGGGTATTGTTTGTTTTGTACCGGTCTGAAGGTCATGGGGACGAACGGAAGTGAATTTTTATCGAATGGGTTCAGTAAAAATCATTCTCCCTTAAAAATCATTCTCACGTTCGTCAATTTTTCCGGGCCAACGAAGTAAAATTCGCTATTAATCTCACTTTTTCTACTCTTTAAGGTGAAGTACTGAAAATCCAGTTTGTTCCACGAATACTTGAATTGTTCGGTAGTTTTTCTCCAACTTTTTTCTCATTTCCTCTACATTTCTTTCTCAACACTTGACATTGTCTTCCTCTATTAACGCCATCAAGAAATTGTAGTCGGTGCCAAAAAAATAGAAGAAGAAAAAGAAGGCGAAGAAGAGATGACCTTCGTTTATCATACCTTACGGAGTGCTAAAGTACTCTGCTCAGTGAGCGTGGGATAAGGTAAATGATCCTACTCTCGTCTAGCTAAGGTGAACACATCATTAGTCCAAGATTTCTATCAAAATGAACGTGAAAATGCGATGATTTAAATAGTTATCAGAAGGTAAAACCTTCAGAATTGGAATTTATTTATGTTAATCATGATAATTACTATTTTTTAATAAATAATCGTCTATAAATGTGAAAAGTCTCATGTCCCTACGCTCGCTCATTTGTCATTGACACATGTCCCTATCCTGATCTCGTGATTTGAGTGATATGGAAAGGTTGTATCCGAACTAATTACATCGTGAGTATCCTATTTTATGATTAAATAATATCTCGGGGGCAAAAATATATTTCCATTGCGCAGTCTAACGTTTTAAATGATCTTTTCATCCATTTACTCCGTTATCAGTTAACAGTTGGTTGTGAAACGAACATAAGATCAATGCCATTTTCATTATATCTATTCTTTTAATTGGCGATATTTCATCGGATATTACTATAATTTATGCATTTGTGTCAAATTTTTAACTATTCGAAACCTTAGTTAAGAGATTATTAATCCCATTTTACTATTGCAACGGAGATATCAACGTTTTAAAATTGTGAGTAGCTTAAGGGTGCCAAGTGAATTTGAAAAAAGATTCAAAAAAAATTTTTTCTTTCCCTCCATCATTGGAGAAATATGTATTCATCCATCCGACGAAATTTCAAACCCGCAACCGGAACTAGACATCGAGAAAATAAATGCGGAAAATCCTCTATTTCGCGTGACGAACCTCGAGAAAGCATGGGATCAAATGGGTACGGCGGCTTGAAATATCTCTCTTATTCACCCCGGTACCCTATTGTTTTTTGTCGCCATCACATTGAACACATCATTCCCCATATCTTCAATTTTTTTCAAATTTTTCTTGAGTTCCTAGGGGATTGAAATGTTCAATTTAATCAAAACTCCATAAGAAGCCGTGTATAAGACTGATTTTGTTTATTTAATTTCTCGATATCCATAAGTTCTAAAACTTTAAAATTGTCACCGATGTTCACCATCTGTCTGATACTATTAATTTAAAAAATTATAACTTTTTTGGTGAATGTCAATTTTCAAGGTCATCGGCAAATTCACTTGGCACCCTTAAGGGGTCTCCGCAGTTGCGATGGGCGGGCGGGTGAGTGGGGTGTGAAATAGTCAAGTTAGTGAGGTTAGTTTCGAGAGAGACGGGACATCAAACATGGCGTATGATGGATAATGACAGACATCGCCATAGTATTTTTATGATTAATTTATTGAACAAATCAACGATAAAATCCAATGGAACTTCATACCCATATTGTTTAGGGCTTAATATAGAACAATTTAGCTTCCTTTGCTGGCTAGCACATTGTCAACAGTGTGAGGGGTATGGGACAAAGTAGCGTCCATAAAGGTTGTGTATAAGGCACAATTTGAATAATTAATTAAACACGAACGAAACCATAAAAGTAGTTAGAATTGCTCTTACAAATACCTTTTTAACATTTTTGATTACTATATGATGTATTTAATTCGCAAGCACATTGTCATATTTTACTCAAAAGTACTGCGGAGACCCCTTAACTTGTGGCTGAAGAATTCACTGTCGTAGCACAAGTTGATGTGAATGGGACTTTTCTTACTTATTATTGAATAAATCATCCTTCATTGGTGTCTATAACTTTCCTGATTAACTAAAATAATAACTCCAATCGTACTTCACTCTTAATAGATTCTTGGGACTATCAAAATGATTAAAATATGATAGCCGGCAGCATCTGAGCGAGCATAGGTACATTTACCTTATTTGAAATAAGTTTTAAAACACAGGTTTAGGTCACACACATAAGTCTTGTACTTCATTCAATATTCGAAAAATTGTCACTCGAGTTTTCATTATTCACAATTGCACAAATTAATGATAATTCACAATTAAACATTTCTCTAACTTACAATCCTTGATAATTGTTAACAACGAATTTTCTCTCGAACTTATAGTTCTCTGCTTAGATCCTTCCGACTCCACACTTGGACTAGGAATGATTAAAATTTAGTATTTTCTGTTCAACTCCCCGCTTAGTCAAGCATTCATCAAGGTTTGAGAGGGGGTTCAACGAACTATTTGCCAGAACATCGATAATTCACCTGGAAGGCGGTGGTCATTAAGGGTAGCGAGAGGGAATTGCCACGTGTCCCTTGATGGACAATACACATTTCAGGTAAGAAGGTCCCGCGCTTCAAGACGTCTAAGGGATCGACAGAGACCGAATGACCATGACAATATGTAAATGCAAAGAAAGCTGAAGAATCCCGAACGAAATATTCGAACATTCAATAAATAAAACTAAATGGCGGTCATGGATGAACTGGGACAAGCCAAATAATGAGGAAGAGTGTACAATTTATTTATTTCATATGAAATTTTTATTCAAGTAAAAAACAATATTCATTCGAAATGAAGAGTTTTCTTGTTTAAAAACATTACAATTTCATGCATTTTACGAATGAAATTCGAAAGTTTGTTTCGTGGATACAGAAGTCAAGACATCGACCTCATTATGTGGTAGTGTCCCACTTTGAGCAAAGAAAGGTCAACACTCATAGAGAATTGAAACAATTTAAAGTTCCTCTTACGAACTTAATCACCCCCTTATTGAAAACAACGGATCCCAAAATCCTTAAAATACTACACAAATTTATCATAAGTAGTAGATTAAAATTGAACTGAACTTACGCCAAGAAGTGCTCCAAATTAATACCAATTATGTGGCAAAATTCCAGATTTTTAGCTTCAACTTTAGTCCTTTTTCGTAAAGATTTATAAAAAAATTTGTGAAGAGATTTTTCACACTTAAAATACTGGGACTGAATGATCATAACTCGGGACTGAGATGGTATGTTCGGAGAGGTGCTGGCGTACTTTAGCGTAAACATCCTCTCAGCAACCGATTCGTTAGTGACGTAGATCTCGATTTAGTCTAAACAAGTAACGAACCTGGGTTTGAGGTCCTCATACTGAACGGGACCGTGGACAGTTCGCCGTGGGCCGTGAGCAAAAGTACTCAACCGATTGAGACACAAAATTATATCATTGATCACTAAATTGTTTGCTTGATATCTCATCTTGTATTTACAACAAGAATCTACAATACACGGACGAATGTCCATTCTTTAAATTGTTAAATAGCGAGTGTTTTTAATGAGTCTTTACCGTATCACAAATATTTACTACATTTTTCGAAAAATTCGCGCACATATCCGGACATACATATACACACATTTTCTAAAAACATCATATCTTGCCATTTCATGGCGTACGTTATTTCCAGGCAAATTTAGAAGATCGTCAAAATCAATGATTACAATGCTTCCAGTCGGAAGCAAAACAAGGAGGCTTGATTGGGATTTCAGATTTTTATATTTATAAAACAGGTTGAATATAACATTCTTTTGAAGCAATGAAAAAGCGAGTACTGATACTTCGGTTACTTAATTTGAATTATGCCTCTGGATGGTTTCTTGAAAGAGATTTTAGATGTCTTTTTGTACTCACAGTTTTCGGTTTTTCTGAATTGTAATTCCAAAATACTGTCCAATGATTAACCAAATTTCTTACAATTAATTCTTGATTCATAGGTCTCTCACTTATTTCAGATATGATTTTTGTGGATTCATGAGTGCGTTATTCCCGAGTTTCACACAGTCGCCGGAATTTAATTGGTTTCCATTACCTATTCGTGCTACTAACGTACGAAGTAGACTATCTTCCACTAATTTTTAATGAGTTTGCACTAGAGATTTATAATTTTGCTGTCTGTTTAGAATTTAGAAAAATGAGTTCGTAGCCAATAGGACGACACACGCGGAAATCGCACCAAAATTTGAATGAAAACTTCCCCTTCAACCGTTTCCGGAAAACCTCGATTTCGATTGTGTCTAACACAGCTAATTCCACTCTTGCTATCGATCCGTCCGTTTACTCTACGAGAGAAGTTCCAAATTTGCCAAAGGCTGGCTAACGACTCACGAAAGCTTCGATCAAATCTTGGGGCATGGGTGGTTTGTGACAATTTTAAATGTGTTAAATTTTGATTGATCAAGAAAAGTGTCGATGTAGACATCTCGCGATAATTTGAAAACATATAATGTGGGTCCTCAGGCGATGTATTACTCCAAGTTTACAATATGACTGCATTCTGATGGTAGTCAAGTCGGCTGTGTTTTGCTGATTGAGCGTTTCACCATTGAATTCGTTCGATCGGGGTCAATATGCCGATTGAAAGAATTCAATGTAAGAGCAGGGAATATTTTTGGGTACCGAAATTGATGAAATTAAATTTAGGACATCACAATAACTTTCGACAGGAAATTTGTTCAAAAATTTTAAACATCAGGAGTCTCCTGTTGCTCATTAACATGGGGAAAAAAATCTCCGTTAGAAATAATTTTTTTTCTTTAAGAATTTCGGGAATTATGTTTTTCTGAAACTACTATAATTTTTTAGATCCTTCAATCTTACTTTCTCAACCTTACAATGGAGGTCTCAAGTCGACCTCGCAAGGGGAGAACGCCCCGTAGAGTTACAGTCACTACCTGGATTCGGACAGCCATGATATTTTTCCTTTACTCTCTACGTGAGTGATTTCGTCAATCATTGGTCCGGTTTTGCAAATCAAAATGTTAATTTTATCAATGCTTCTCGGGTTCTCCCGACATTAAAAAGACCTCAAAAGATTTTTATCAACTTTGTAAAAACTTCATTACGTACAAAAAGTCATTTTTTCCGTTTTCTGAATTTTCAAATAATTTTTTTTGTTTTAGAAGGGATAAAAAATTATCTTTTTGGTCTTCAATAGGTATTTCAGACGTAAATTATCCGCTCTTCCGATAGAGAATGGTTTAAAATTCTCTGAAATTGACAGTGACGTTGAAATTCGGCATTGTACCGCCTTCCCCCATCTTGATTGCCGATTTTCTCTTTCTCTCCGTTAGAATAGTTTTCTTTACAGAAATTATCGAAGAATTAAGGTGGAACTCCGCTCTATTCTGTCCAAAAATTATTTTTTCCCCAATTTTTTTTTCATCGTTTCAGATACTTTTAAAGCTTTGAGCTAGAAATCTGCAGTAGAGCATGTGCATAATCGAGCTCAATCCTTCTGTTCATGCTGAAATGACCCACGATTGTCTTTACGTATTTCCCCACGATCAAAGAAAATGAAATTCGTAATATTCAAAATAGGACAATCTTCCACAGGTATTAATCATTGTTTCCCATGTATACAATCGAATTTCTTTTCGAATCCGAATGAACAACAGGTAATGATCGTGACTCAGCAGGGTGCACTCCCCTCCAATCGGAGCTGAGAACTTCAATGAAAATAGGGAAAAAGACCTAGAATATTGTGAAAGAGAAGAGAAATTGGCGACAGTTCTCGACGACTCTCGGGAAAAGAGCGTGAATATTTATTTTGAAAAAATTTGACTTATTATACCAAGGAAACACGTATGAAACAAGCAGGGGTAGAAGCCTATCTGGCAGAAGTCATGTGACCGTTACTCCATGTGTTTTTTTTTCTCTTTACCAATTACATTGGTAACAACCTTCGGAATGGAAGCCATTCCAATTTCACACATAAACAATCAGTGGCGATCACTCGCTCTTTAGTTTCAGTGTGACAAATACGGGTGAGTGTAAATGGATATGACCACGCCAACCTCTGTCTCTGCTACAACTATGGCTATCGAATATCCAACAAATATTAGATTATATGGAGTAAAAAAAACATGAATTTGTATTATAGGACTTTTGAAGTCATGCACAGATGCAAAACATTGATAAAATAACGATTTGTGATTTTTCACAAAAAAAGCGTTTTGGATGAATTACTCTATGCCAGGATGTACTGAATCGATTGACACAAAATTTTATACACAAAATCTCAGATGTTTAGTCCAGATTTAACGCGCATTATAGAGCCCCCATTGGATTTTAATTTGAAAAACTAGAAAAACGCTGATATCTCGAAAACTTTGTATGGGAGGGTATGCATATTTTGATTGATCTTGATAGAAGGTATCATGACAAATATTTTGAAAAAAAAAGTCAATCGAACCAGTAGTTTTGGAGATATTGAGCATTACAGTTTTTCACAAAAAGTTGAATATCTCCTAAACTACTCATCCGATTCAGCTCATCCACAATCCCATCCTGTAATATCATAAAAACTACAATCGTACCAAATTTCAACTTTCTATCTTAATTTTTCAGGGTGCTATCGTGTTCACAACGATTTTTTCATAAAAATGAAAAATGCCAATTATTACCAAACTTTCGATAGTTATATGGCAATATTATGACTTGATCCGATAGATATTATCACGAAAATTTTGGCGTCAGAAAAATTCAATGTGGTCATGTAGTTTTTGAGATATTGAGGAACAAAGATTTTTGAGAAATTGCTGTATCTCGGAAACTACTGGGCCGATTGAGCTGAAACTGCGCCCAGAAATGCTCCAAAGTAATACCAATTATGTGACAAAATTTCAGATTTTTAGCTGCAACTTTAGTCCTTTATTTGTCGTGATTTATAAAAATTTTCGAAAAAATCGACCCACACTTCCGGACACACATACACACATGGTCCTCAAACTTTGTATTTTGACGTTTCAGACCATTCTACATCATTTCCAAGCAAAATTGGAGAATCGAAAAATTGATCGATTACAAAACTTCCATTCGGAAGCAAAAAAACTTCTGATGGGGAATATGAGTTTGCAGCATGAGTCGAATTCAAAGGCCATTCATATGGGCTAGAACAGTTTTGTTCGACCGAGTGACAAACATTTTTTTTCGTGTCACGGGACCTGAAAATTAATATACACACCTCGCCATGGAAAACATATCACCCTCCCCCATGTGCTTGCCATCCTCGCCTTCAGCTCGGAAGGCAATCTTGCACGTGGGGGACGGTGATCTGTTTTCCAAGGCTCGGGCATGTAATGTACTATCTCGCGACGGCCATAGGCAAGGATTCACTGACGCACAACGTCCGTTTTACCCCACCACTTATCGAGGTACAGTGAAAATTCATTTTACCAAATTAAAACTTTTTGATCACTGTCCAAATAGATTTTTTACTCACTCTTCTCCATCGGCCATGATGTTTCTCACCGCTCAACATTATTTGATATTAAACTCATATCCATTAAGTTGGATATGTGTAGAAGACGAAGGTTATAGTCTGGATTGACGTCGATAAAGACTCTTTGAAGTTAAAAAAAAGTTGAAGTTTGGTCACTATTCACTCTCTTCTTTTATACTCTAAGTGCCATATAGTACCAATCATCATCAAGTTTTATATACAGAGAATAAGCCCAATAGTTGGAACTATGATAAAAAACCGGAAGGGAGTTATCTACAAACTGATTACCTTGTAGTCTATTCACGATAATGAAACTTTCTAAAAACGTAGAAAAAATGTTTTCTGCTGTATCTCCAAAACTATTAGAGTCAAGCGCCAAAGAGAAGTTCGGCACAGGATTCCACTTCTTTGAATCCTTAAAGTAGTATGGTCACGGATCGATTTCCAAAATTAAAATATGAAATAATTTTTTTATGAAAGTTAATATCAATAAAAACCTCCTGGTGCAATTTGTGGTACATTCATCATTTAGTATGGTTGATAAGAATTAATGAAAAACTAGATTTTAACACAGAGTCTTATGGGCAAATCACATTTTTGGGTGGTTTTTTATGAAAAACCCAAGATTAAATTGTAAAAAAAATACCAAAAAATGCAAAAAAAAAAAACAAAAATTTACGACCATCGACCAAAATTATTGACCGTTTGGGACTTTAGTTATAAATAATTTCTGCTCCTCGGTGTTCGGAAATTGCGTGTCCAGTAGATGCGGCAACGACGCGTTAGTGGAGTAGGGACAAGCGGGCATTGCAAATCTCGGTTTCCCTAGGCTGTTAAGTTACAGCGTTGCCACACATAAAACGATGCTAGTTAAAGGATGTACATTATTTGATTAATAATTGAAAAATAATAAAAAATAATCGATTAATTCTTACATTCATAAATTTTATAATTCACAAAGAGAATTTTCGATTATAAATCATAGTTTTTTGATTAATTTTTTTAGATTTTCTTGACGGACACTCAACGATCACTTTGGAGAGTGACCATACTACTTTAAAATGCCGATCGAAAACTTTGAATCGAAAGCTTTGGAACACTCCACACAGAGAAAATAAAATAGTAACAATTCCAATGCCGAAATCTGTACATAGTTAATACCAAAGTTTTCCTTGGCAGAGTGTTGTTTACAAAAATAATTATTTTAGTTTTTTTATAACGCATATCACGCACAAAAAAATTTAATAGAAAACCCTATTTGTTAGAAAATCCTATTGAATTTCTATTAAACTTTCTATTAGTTTTTGGCTGATTCTATTGACATGTTCAATAGAAAACATTCAATAGAAAAAGTCAACATAATTCGATTTCTTTATATCATTTCTTTTCATATATTTTCTATAGAATTTGCTCGACTCAAATTTTCCAAGTTTTTTTCCTTCTATTTTTCTCTTCTTCTCATCAAGAAAATCAAACGAAAAAACTTAGAAAATTTGAGCCAAGGAAATTCTATAGAAAATATCTCAATAGAATAAGTTATATAGACAAATTGATTTCTATTGACTTTTTCTACTGAATATTTTCTATTGAACAGTTCAATAGAAAATCAATAGAATTTTCTAAAGAATTCGATAGGTCTTTCTATTAAATTTTTTTGTCCGTGATACCTTCATCATTTCATCTTTTATTTATTTCATTATCATTTATTTATTTACTTGTTTTTCAATACATTCGATCAGTTATGAAGTGGGAGCAATAAAATGTTTCCTGTTGTTCTTATGTAGAAATTTTTCCGTGATTTTCTAGTTTATTGTTGCACTATGATTGCTTCAATTTTAATTATCAATTTCCCACGTCAGGTGTGACACGTATCGTCAATTTATCACACGCAAGTGATTTAAACTAATGATATTAGGTATATCGCCATTACATACATGAAAATAATGAATGGCAAATGGATAATAAACTTATGACGGTTTTTCTATATAAATGCGGGAATACGAATTGAACAGTTACACCGCGAGTGAGTTCTTCGTTTGTTCGAAATTTGTACACTATGTTGTCAATTTATTGTACTCTGTTCATTGTGATTACGTTTCTAGGGGCTGTTTGTGGGGATGTAAGATTTTTTTTCTCCATTTTTTCTCTTTAAGAATGTCTAAGTACTTTAGCTGTTTTTTCTGCAGGAAAATCCCTTTCTACTTTTGTAGTAGAACATCAGAGCTTTCATTTCAGCCCCATTTGACCCAAAGTTTCCGGACATTTTAGAATGATTTTATTATTTAAACTTTGTATGTCTGAATTTGAATCTCGATATGGAACTGTTAGAAAATATTTTAAACATCTGAAAAAATAATAGAAAGGTTACTTTGGGAGGAAGATTAATTAAATAATTGAAAAATTGCAATTTTAAAAAATTGCGAGAATTTTCTATAAACAATTTACAAACAATCAATTTTTCACCATAAAAATCATTTGCTCAGAATTGTAAAAAATTTAGTCATATAAAAAATAAAAAAATAAATCATAAACCAACCAACTAATCGTAAATTTTCCCAGAAATCGATTTCGCCTAAAAAAATTACGTTTCCAAAAGTTTAAACAATGTCAATTATTTATTTATAAACAATGAATGTTCAAGAAAATAATAATTCTGTGCAAGATGTAATTTTAATCATGCTGAATATTATGATTTTTCTCAAATTGGTCTCACCCAATTTAATTGACACATTTGATGATTGAAAACAGTTGAATCTATAGTGTGGTCTGTACCAAACTGTAAAAGATACTTGAATATTCTTAACGATGTTCAAGAGAGAAGTAGGATATTCGAAAAATGCAGCCAATTTCATGAAATTTTTTTCACATATTGTCTAATCCATTTAGGCAATAATTACTGAAACCCTCTTGCAAAATTACTGAAACCCCACGTTCAGGACAACAATAAAAATGAATTCTAAAGTTGCTACGTATACATGAGGTTAAAGGGAGCCTTGATAACTCGTACATTTTGTCTACACTATCAACCAGTTAGCAATGTGGAAGAAATACTGAAATTATCGATGACCCATTTAACCTCATTTACAAACAGCAACTTTAAAATTCATTTTTGTTGTTGTCCTGAACATGGGGTTTCTGAAAGTTTGCAAGAAGTGCCTGAGTGGATTAAATAACATGTGAAAAAAGTTTCATAAAATTAACTGCATTTTTAGAATATCCTACTCCTTGCTTCAGCATCGTTAAGGGGGTACTCACTATACAAATTTTGAGACCCAGTAGTGTTTTCCCTTAACAATTTAATTAAAAAATATTTAATTTATGTGTATTTTTGTCGACTTTCCTGCAGCCAACAACACAAATTATCCTGGAAAAAGTTGATATCAAAACAGATGATAATCCATTTTTCGATCCTTGGACAGCGAGCCTGACGGGATCAAATGAAAAAAAACTGACAGTGACAACACCAGCTAAAATTGACCTCCCGAGTCACATGATGGTAATGACATCTATCATTTCCCTAAATTTTAGAGCCTAAAATATCCTCATGTCAAGGAATTATTTTTAGGATTGCTCAGGGAGATTATTTGAAAACGGAAAGTGATAAAATGTCTCTCTAACATTTTATTAATGAATTATTAATCAACTTTTGTCAGACGGTGGAAAGAAGTTGATGAAAATTTATTGGGATTTATTTATTTATTCAATGCACAATGCAACGGAGAAAATTATAACTATTATAAATAAGTAATTATAAAATTATATAATTGATTCTTAAAAGGGTATCCAAGTACTCCGTTCAAATTCACAACTTTTTTTCAAGCAATATTTCAGTTTTTCCCAAAAATTTTCCATCCCATACCTTTTCGCAATTTTCATTGTTGAATACATTTTTTCGGAAATTTCTTCAGTGAATTCTGTGAACAATAGTTTATTCAATTTCACACTTGACTCCCGTTGGTCTAACTTCTAGCACGGGCGCAATGTGTTAAATTTCATTTTTTCAAAAATCGTTTTCTCGAAAAAAAATTCAGAAACTAAGGTTGATATTGGTCCTAAAAAATTTTCCGCCAGAAAATATTTCTCGAACTCAGATCAGATCTTCGTAAACGTAATGTGACTCTGAAAATTAAAATTCAATGTACCCAATGTATTCATAACTGCGATTCCATTTAAGGATAATCGGGCAAGCCCGGAGGATTAGAAAAAAAGCAGCCATTTTTTTCTTTTTTTTTTACGTATTCTTTAAATGATGGAAAAGGCGTGTGCAAAGTTTCAGACTGCTGGGGAGCATGGTTAATTTATTACGAATTTTTGAAAAAGTGGTCATTTAACCCGTGATTTATGGAAATCACAAAAAAAAACTGCAAAACCCAAGGAAAAAATGCAGCCAAAGTCATGAAACTTTAGACACATTTAGAACATGTGATCAATGATTTTTTTAGTGAAGAAGATTGTCGCCTACGAGCATTGTTTATTAATAATAGCTAAAAAAGTACTGAAAAATGAAATTTTTCCGCACGCAGCCCAAACGAACAGCAGCGTTCTAAGTACCGATCGGGTGGGGGTAGCGCGGTCAATTTAAACGTCTCTTGAGAGTGAGCGATGAAGCGTTGTGATTTGGAGCTCCTTCGAGCCAGTGGTACCAGCTTCTGGTGAGAAAAAAACTACCGACGATGTTGTAACGTCTCGACGTTGAATTTTATAGATGGTACTATTTATCGGCCATTTTAATCCGCGAGATTTGAATTATTATTTCAAAATGAATATAAAAAGTCTGAAATTTGAGAATGCCAAGAAAATGGTCGAACAGAGGACAATGAACAATGGACAAAAAATAATTTGACGAGTGTAAGAAAAACCGTTGCCAGCAATCGTAAATGTCAAGTACTTGAGTTGAGTTCTCAATTTATTACTCTCCAAAATTTGTTACAGAAAGGCTTTTCCTGAAAATTCTAAACTCAGAGAGAAAAATAAACACATCGGTCACAGTCGTAAAATCGTAAAATCTCAATTCTGGTATATTTCGAAAGTTTCTCTGTTTCAAGTGGTCCACACGTGTTTGGGTTCTCCTTTGTTCATTGTATTCCTACGCGGAGGGCCTGAGACCCCTCAAGAGGAAAACTGGCGACGTCGCACGCTTTCCCTTCCTCCCTCTTTTCATTTCCCCTGTTCTGTTTTAGCATACCCCTCTTCCCTTTCCTCTGGGCCAGGATTGCGCGCGCAACTTTTTGGTCTAGCGAAGGTGTTTTGAGCCAACCCTTAGATTTAAAACTTAAGTTGAAGTCAGTCCCATCGTGCCTGTTGTTCCGACAACTTTTCAAGCTTCTCTCTTCAAGTAGTTTTTCTTCAGAGTTTTTATGAGTTTTTATAAGTTTATTAGAAGTTCATCCAGTTTGTAGTCCAAGTTTTAGATTTTTGAGTCAAGAGTTATTTTGAATAAAAGTGTTAATGTGCTCTCCTAAGCACTGGTGTTTGGATTTATTCACAAATAAACCTTCAATCCAATTATCCTATCATTGAACGTGTCAACATCGATGGAGTCCTCATCAGAGGTTTAGCGGCTAACGGATCCACACTTCAAAGTTTGGCGCTCAATATTCCAAATGGCGCTACTGTCCTCCTAGTAACTTGGATAGGACATAACAATGTTGCCACTTATTCGCATGGATTAATATTTTTTCATTTATTAAAAAAAAAACAATCGGAAAACCATTCAATGCGTGGAACAGATACAAATAAATTTGATTAGTTCCAAAAATAATTTTTAACCGGAGATACTCCCTAATATTGCCTGAATTTTGAACCCGAATGGGAATAGTATATTTCAGCTCGTGTGGGGCAATTTCGTCTTTAACGTGTGTGTGGTTTACAGCATGAGCCGAAGGCGAGTGATGTAACCACACACGTTAAGGACGAAATTTCCCAATAAGTACTGAACAAAATTTTATGTCACGAAGCCTGAAACCGGCTGAATTAGACACGAGACGCGAAGCGTCGAGTGTGTAATCCAGCCGGTTTCAGGCATGAGTGGCATAAAAAATTTTTTTGCTCAGCGATTGGTTTTCTGCAGGAAAACAATAGAAATCCCTCCGCCTCACCTCCTACATTTCCTCCTCGCCGGATTATCCTTAATATCGAGGGATGAAATTGATCGAAATCAATTGTACATATTCAATGCGTGCAACCCGCACCGTTTTCCATCGGGAGATATACACTTTGTTCTTTTTGCTTTTCAAAAACTCAAATTATCCTCTTATGATTTTTAGATACGCATAGTGATAGGTTTGGATGGTAATGAAATGGTCAATTATCAATCAACACTGTGTGCGTTCCTTGAAGATGAATCAATTGGTGAAGGAATAGTTGCACATGGCCTACCAAAGGAGCTGTTCCCCAAAAGATGTCCAATCAAATCGGTAAGATTCCTACAAATTAATCAGCTCATTTTTCTAGGAAAAAAAAGAAACGAAAATTATCGCAGGTCTAATGAATTAAATAAAATTTGGATATTCAGGGCGCAGACTTCGAAGTAAACGAATGGATGTTTCCCATGCAGAAATTGCCACCAGGTATTCCTGACGGTCCGGGCGAGGGAGTAATGACTATATTCGAAGAGGGGAAACCTCCTATAATTACCCTTACAGTCAAAGGAAAGGTAATTAACGAATTCCCTGGAATCGGACGTTAACTTTTGAATTTAGGAACATGATTTTTAACGAATCTCTATTACAACTTTGATAATCACCGAAGGCAAATGCAACTCTAATACAGCTATAATCATAGAATTCACAAAATTGATACATACCGCTAATTATTACTAGTAATAATACGAGCGATATTCATTCATTTCGAATGAAAGAATGGATTCAATAGGGAGGGGTGTTATGAATTGTGAATAAAAATTTTTTCATATGAAGACCGGCAATTAATATTGTAGTAGCTAATATAACATATCACATATTGTTTATGGGGGCTTTCAACGAATAAAATGAAATTAGTTATTGAGGGAGAATCTTTTTTTCCATCCTTAATTATCAACATTAAAAAATTGAACGAAATTCTTTCCTCTAGAAAATAAGAGATTTAGTAAAAATGAATAATCCTCGGAGGAGTTAATCCAAGGTCATGTGATAGTCATCCTCTAGAACAAGATGATTGCCATGATTGAAACCTAACCAGGCTCGCCTGAGAATTATCCTCCAACTGGAGAAATACAGTATTGAAAAAATAAATACTTCTCTCAAGTGAATTAAATTCCCTATGTAACACGAGACTTGAGAGAGTAAGAGAGAAAAAGAGAGAGAGACAAATCAGTACGAACTCTTCTTTGTCCAACAGTTCTGTTATGTAGAGGAGAAACTAGTTGTATGTAAGTTGTCGTGTAAATTACGTTGGTAAATTACACCGTTTTTTACCGACATAACTTACGTAAATTACCTCGACGGATTTTTTACATTTTTTACATTCCTTCGAAAAGCTTGCAATTTTCGATTACTAGAATGTTTTATTTTATTCTGAGTGACGAAGACGCAGTATTGGACACATAAAAAATAGTATATTATGGCCCGAGGACAGATAAACAGCGAATTTTAATTTCACTTTGTTCGGTTAGAACGCGGTTCTCGGTACTTGAGGCATAAAATATCATTTTATGGCCCTAGGATCGTAAAACTGCGATTCTAATATCGATTTCCTCAGTTAAATCGCGGTTTTCGGGCCCAGAGACAAAAAATATTGTATGCCACACGGCGATAAAACTATTTCCTGACTCGAGTGATTAAAATCCTCGATTACGAGGTGAGACCCTCGTGGTTTATCACCCTTGCGAGGTATAATTTTCGCGAAGCTTCACGGTTTACGATAAAAGGTAACGTCGGCTGGTTTTTTACATTTTTTACATTTATTACGTAAATTACGTGTTTTTTACAATGTCATGTAAAAAACTGCGGTCATCGACAGATGCCCAACGCTGCGTAATCAGCCCCTCACTCCAGCACTGCTGAACAAGGATAGGCTGGGACTGGGTTTTTCTCTCTTTGGCTAAGTCTGGCAGTTTCCCACTCCACATGCGCGAGGGACAGACATATTAGTCTCTTATACCTATCCTTGTTCAGCAGTGCNGAGGGACAGACATATTAGTCTCTTATACCTATCCTTGTTCAGCAGTGCTGTGAGAGAGAGAGAGAGAGAGAGAGAGAGAGAGAGAGAGAGAGAGAGAGAGAGAGAGTGGAGATGCTATAGAGTGGGGGTAAAAATTCAACTGTGTAGTGGAAACCATGGAAGACCGTTTCACCATCCTCTCACAACAAAATAATGTGTTTTTTCGTTATTATAATAGTTTATGACAGTTGAAAAAATTGAAAAAATCTTAGAATGGTGAATTCTTGTTGTGTGTGTGGTGTTGAACGATCGGTGTTGACGGCAGATCTTACTTTCCATAAGTATGATACACAATTAGTATATTTCGATACGAGTTAGCAGGGTTAGGTCGTTCACTGAAAATCGGAGTTTTCTACAGTACATAGTAGAATACTGGTAATTTATCTCTAAATGGTAAAAAAGGTAACTGGTAGAAAACCTCTTGACCCGACCATCACTGCAGTGATTTTCGTGACTGGATTTCACGAGGGATTATACCTTGCGAGGGTCAAATGGCGCGAGGGCCATATTTCCCAAGGGTCAAACGTCACGAGGTTCATACCTAGCAAGCATCAAACGTCATGAAGGTCATATCTCGCAAAGATCATGCCTCGCGAGGGTCAAATGTGGCACAAGTCATATCTCACAAGGATCCTACCTCGTGAGGGTCAAACATCGCAACGGTCATACCTTCCAAGGGGCCAACGTTGCAAGGTTCAAAGGTCGCAAGAGTTCTACCTCGCGAGGATCATGTCTTCTCTGTTAGACCCTGAACGATTTTCCTTCCTGCTCCATTTTTTTGACCCTCATAATCGTGGACCGTTGTGACTGTCTTTCCTGCCTCCCCGGTTGTTATCGTTTGAACTTTGAGATTGTCCTCTGCCTACCTCTGTTGTTTAACCGTTACAATGTTTGACCCTCGCAAGATATAACCCTTGCGATGTTTGACCCTCACGAGGTATGATCATTGCGATGTTTACCCCTTGTGAGGCGTGACCCTTGCAACTCTGTCAGCGGGATTGTTATCACACCAGAATAACTTATTGTTGTTATTAATCACGCACACACGCGGTGAAACAAATATTTTTTGTCATTCGGCCTCGCTTTGCTCGGTTACAGTAGCTCTACCCTTAGAAAGTTATATTTCAATTCAAAGATTTTTTAAAACTACAACCAATCGCCTAAAAACTCTGTGTGATTTGGAATCGTAATTTTTTTTCTCATTTAATTGTCGTTCAAGTTTTTATAAATGAAAATGTTGAAAATTCATTATTTAACACAGGGTCTTATGTGAAAAACGCTAAATTTGACACAGCTCCGGTTAAAACAAAGATTAAAATCTATTTTTTTTCCTAAAAACGAGAAAAAAATAATAAAAAACATTGGCACCTGCTAGATAACGATTTATTGTTTTGTTTTTTTATTATTAACAATTTCCAACCAGAATCACGGGAAACTGTGAACAGGAGTAGACGTGGCAACGACGGCTTGGTCCGCTGTCACTTGGCGGGACCTCTCTCACCTCTCTCACCCGTCACATTATCCTACAGTGTTGCCACTAATTTGTCCAAGCTAGTCAATTGAAAATCTATTTATTCATACTTCTACTAAAAACAATTAATAATGAAAGAATTCTTATGCTTATGTCCTGTATAAATTATTTTAATAATTTAGACATCAAAAAAATTATTGTTAGAATCTTTTTTTTTTCAAAAGCACTCAACGAGTCCAGCCGTAGAGGTAGAGCTACTTTAAATCGCGGTTTATCCGGCCTAGTGACGAATAGCTCTAAAACCTCCTTGGTAAATTACTGGTTTTTTACATGTAGAAAACTTGGTGAAATACCGATGGTATTTTACTTGCCCAACCCTGCGAGTGAGACAAAATTTTCACGAGTGTGAAGTGCCAATCACACGAGCTGAAAATTCCCGTCCCAAATGTGTCGAACAATATTTTTCATCACGCTGTGACGAAAAGTGAACTTTTCGGCACGCTCCGCGTGCCTAAAAGTCCAATTTCCGCCACATTGTGATGAAAAATATTGTTCGTAACTCGTGAAAAAATGTTTTTTGCACTCGTTACGAAATATACTATTTTTACAGTGATGTTACGTTCAGCGAGTGGCCGAGCTGTGCTTTTTTTGTTCACAAGTAAATAAAAAGACTTTTCGTCTACAGGTAAATGAAAAGGCACTTTTCGGCACGAGGTGAGCGTAGCAGCAATGTCAAAATAGTATATTTCGTTATGAGCGCGGAAAGGAGTTTTTTTGGCTCGTGGGAGGTTTATAGCACGAGCCGAAGGCGAGTGATATAATTCCGCGAGCCAAAAAACACTTTTCCCCCGAGTATCGAGCGATATTTTTCATCACAATGTGTGGAAAAGGAACGTTTTAGGCACGCGAGTTACTTTTTTGCACAGCGTGATGAAAATTACGTTTTCATCCAAATGCAGATATTGATTGAAATATTTATATTCATCCAGATATTTGTAATATTCCACTTTTAGATTGCCTACGAATCCAGAAATGCGACGAAAATGGATCGAAGTATTGAAGAAAAATGATGTAAAAATTTCCAAAAGTCTTATTGTCTGCAGTAGTCATTTCAAACCTGAAGACTATCGTGAGTGGGCTCTTCATCCACTCCTAAAAAAAAATGCTGTCCCACGACAGGAGTTTTTAGGATCTGCATTCAGAAAACAATTGACTCAAAATTATGCGAGGTACTACGTTATTTTGTATTTCACTTTCTGTGAACTTTCATATCGGATATGATGCATTAGTGTTAGCATGAGTTTTTGATGGAAAAATGTCGGGGAAGAAATGGTACGAGGAAAATTTGGGGGAGAGAAGAAATGTCCGGAAAGAAAACACAGGTCACCATGTATGAAAAAATCGTATAGAAATTTTCTATACGGATTGCGTATAGAATTTCTATAGGATATCCGTATATGATATTCGGATATTTCTATGCGGATATTTTTTATACAAATTATTTCTATACGATTTCTACCTTTAATCCTATACGACCCACTGCCGCATGTATAGAAACATTTCGTATGGAGCGAAATTTCTCAACGTTTTTCTCTGGAGCGTTTAGACATCTTTTGTATGAAAACAAAATTTTATGTAGAAATTTATGTGTAGAAATAATTCGTATAGAAAATGTTCGTATAGAAATATCCGAATATCATATACGGAAATCCTATAGAATTTCTGTATGCAATCTGTATAGAAAATTTCTATACGATTTTTTCAGACGTGACCTTTTCACCCTGCAACGGCCTAACATCAATTTCCAACTGCAGCGCTTTCTCTCTTTCCCTATCAATGGAGGCACTTCCATAAGTGCTAATTCAGAAAATTCTAATTCCCGGAGAACTCAGGGAGAATTCACTGTAATTCCTGTTTTCATTCTTGTTTTCCTAAAAACAATCGGCCGCTTCAGTTCGCGTAGCTACCTGTGCTTCACGAAGCCCTCAGTTCGATGCACAGGATGTAATCTAGACCCTCAGACTGTACTGAGATTGTCTGATCATTAGATTAGAACCTCAAGCTTGTTCATACCCTCACATGTCACTGACCAAAACCTTGTTCTGAGTATTCCTCAAGGAATCCAAGGATACTTAATAGTGAAGAATCATGTAAATTTATTTCTGCAGAAAGACACAAGACTGTGACAATGGGGCCAGTGATCTTAACAATACGATTAACAATGAACATGGGAATCGTCGTTTTTTGGGGGCGGCTAATGCATTAGCCTCCTCTAATGTTTCTGATGACGCAAATACTCTAGAACAAGAAAATTCTCCCCATGAAGAAAGTGAGCCTGAGTATGTGAATATTGAGATCCTAACAGATGATTTCTTATCCACTGAGGATATCGATACTTCAGACAGGTAATAGTTAGAGCCTTAAGTTATCCTCTAAACATCATTAAGTCCCCCAAAACAGCAGAGATTTACGAAATTTGGATGTGTCAATGCCGAAAACGACAGTTGATCGTATGAAGATTTTTGGTGAATTTGTTTTTAATTTTTCAATTTTTTTTTGGCTTGCAGCAAGTTTTGGAAATTCTTATGGCCTTATACCCGTGGAGGAGGTGAAAAAGTTAATATTCACTATCTGGACATTATAAACATTATTTGTTTATTTTCATAAATATTATCTGTCGAATTTTATCTTCAGAAAGGGCAAGAAGGAGGCCCATATTTTTTCACGTTTTTTCGATCATTTGTTATCGAGTAGAAAACCATGAATTTTGCTCAACACGGAGGTGTTCAACGCCGCCTTAATACGTTTCAGAATACACTAAGTCGAAAACGAAAAACCATTTTGTCTTATTACAAATTAACGAAAAATGCAAAGAAAATTATCGATTTTCTGGGTAACAGTAAGTGCATGTATTACTCAGTGCTATCGTGAAGGCTATATTTCTGAAATGGGGAGGGTCAGCCAATCGACCAGACCTTTCCTCGAACGGGACTAGGGCTTTTTATAACGTAAGTGAAAAAAAAGGGCACTGAAAAAAATTATAGACGGATTTTTAAAATATTGATTTTTTATATGTATTCATATTTTTTCTGCCCATGCTCTAATTTGTTATAATATGGACGAAATCCAAGTACATACTATCTTAATAAATTACAAATTTTTTCAGATTTTTACCAATAATTTTTTTGTATTTGTAAAAGTGATATTGATAAAATATTATACTGCAATGTCAATTCGATCATCAACATCAACACATTTTTAAAATAGTGAAGAAATAGTTGGAAAAATTCGCAAAAATTTGTACTTCATTAAGATGGTTACATGTCTAAATATCACACGACAAAAATATCACACGACAAAAAAATCGCACGACAAAATATCACACGACAAAATATCCCCCAAATGTGGTTACTTATCGCACTGACCATTGAGTACTAACTGTGTCATCGTGTTTACAATTCAGGAGCCCACCTCGAATAATAGTCGTGATCAGCCATCGCCCAGTGAAAAATCAATATATAGAGTTCTTGCGGTAACAGATGTGCAAATATAAATGTAATCCGAACGCGTAATATTCTAACGCGTGATAATTTATCACGTGATATTTTTGATTTGTGATATTTTTGGCCTGTGATATTTTTGTCAATAATATTTTTTTGTGATATTTTGACGCATGATATCTTTTACCGTAATATTTAGACGTGTCACCATTAAGATAGTAGATGGACTTAAATTTCGTCCATATTATATAACAAATTAGGGCATACCCCTAGAGAGAAAAAAAATNTTGCGGTAACAGATGTGCAAATATAAATGTAATCCGAACGCGTAATATTCTAACGCGTGATAATTTATCACGTGATATTTTTGATTTGTGATATTTTTGGCCTGTGATATTTTTGTCAATAATATTTTTTTGTGATATTTTGACGCATGATATCTTTTACCGTAATATTTAGACGTGTCACCATTAAGATAGTAGATGGACTTAAATTTCGTCCATATTATATAACAAATTAGGGCATACCCCTGGAGAGAAAAAAAATAAATACAAATAAAAATTCAATATTTTTAAAATCCGTCTATAATTTTTTTTGGGCATATTTCAACTGTGTGTAATCCAAAGTTCAGCTCAATTGGTTGAAAATCGAGGCACTAGGACGTTTTTGTAGATTTTGACCCGTTTCGACCCTTTAGGACCTTGCAAAAATCTCGGAGTTCGATTTTTTCTCACTTTTTTTTTCACCTATAACACATATAAACTTTTACCATGGTCTCTATAATACCCAGAGACTTTCAAATTTCACCGCGGTCTCCCCTTAATGAAAACATTAAAAAAGTATAGAATTATTTTCAGAAGTTGACTTGAAGTCGCTCTGTAAGAACGAAATATTCTCTCCAATGTCTCGATCGCGGTAGTTGGGTGAATGAACGCAGGTACTTCACCTATTGACGCTCCTGTCATCTGACAAAAGAGACCGGCATAAAGCCGTTTGACTTTTCACCAATCTCGATAACGACGAATTTTCAGTGGGTCAAATTTTTCAGTCAAACCTTAAATTGATACTGCTGCTCGAAAATTGTTTTTAAAAATCCGGAAAAATTCTCCAAGCTTTTTCATACGATCAGCCATCCTTTGCAGCCTTGCCACATCTACATTTCGTAAATCCCTATGTGATTGGACGATTTGCTGTTCATATTTATCATAGATATAGTGGAAAATCATAATATACTTTTTTAAATATGAATTTAGTGTACAAGCCGAACAAAATAATGATTCGTTTGAGCGTCAAAGACCAAACATCTCAGCAGACTTTGGAGATCATATTTATTCGTTAAACACGAACATTTCACAAGCTGAAAACACCGAGAAGCTAAATAGGTAACGAAGTTTTTTCTTCCTAAATTTCTAAATTGTTTTTGATTGATTTTTACCTATCGCAATTTTCGATTAATTATTGAAATCATATTTTTCGTCTTCGAAAAATTTCACTTCGATGATGAATTCAACACCCCAATGAATAGATGTTGCACTGTACCTGACTCCGGAGTACTTCGTCGAGAAGACTTCAAGGATGAAGTAACCTGGAATCGATTCCTGGGTCTCTATGAAGATAGGAATACTAAAAATGCATTATTAAAACAGAAGCATGAACGTTTGAAAAACACAGTTGAGACGTACAAAGACTTGATTGAAAAGCTTATGGAAGAGAGACTATCAACCAATCCCACTACAGATTTCTTGGATGTAAGTGCAAATGCATAAAGTCATATCTACTGATTTTTTCATATGGATTTTTAACTCAATAGGGGAGGATGGAGCAAAATGGATATCGTTGACTTTTTTGAATGCATAACTTGGCATAACTCATGAACGACTTGATCAATTGAGCTCAACCTAGGCCTGTCACAAAGGAGCAAAATTGTTTTTTTTTGTCACAGCGCCGAAAAACACTTCTGACAATTGTGAAGGTTGCTGACTAAGACGAAGCCGACAAATGCAATCACGGAAAAAAATATATACTTGATTCAAGAATATTATTCTTGATTCGAGTATATTATATACTTGATTCAAATATATTATCCTTGATTCGAGCATATAATATACTTGATTCAAGTACATTATTCTTGATTTGGGTATAAAATATATTGTATTCAAGTACATTATATACTTGAATCAAGTATATAGTATACTTGATTCAAGTATATTCTATACTAAATTCAAGTATGTTTTTTTTCCGTTATCACACGAGTCAGAAAAGTAGTTTTCGATCGCGTGACGAACATAATTTTTCTTCACAATGTCCGTAAAATTACATTTTACGGACATTGTCGTGAAAAAAAAATTCTTACATTCCGGCTATAATGCAGCACTTCACGGACACTACGCGTCCGTGAATCACTACCTACAGCCGTTAAGACAAAAAATATCGTTCGTCACACGGCCTAAAAAAACTTTTCTGGGTCATATGATTACAACCCTCGTCTTCTGGCGGTTTCACAACCACACATCCGTGAGAAAAATTGATCAAAACTATTCTTTTAATGATGTATGAATTTTCAGTTTCGGCTATTCAAAATTTTTCTTTAACTAAAATGTAAAATATATTCACTATGTAATTGATTGTATAAAATATACTTTGAAATATTGTACTGCAAGTAATAAAGTTTATTCTGTAAGTCATTCGCTTATTATTTTCTCTAGACAAAAGAAAAAACTTCGGGTCGGTCAATTCAATTTAATTGATTTATCATTTAGATCTACATAGTCTTGTCCAATGGAGAGATGAGTCGCCTCACCTCACTCTTACAGAGTAGAGGCTCATATTTTATTTCACGTGAGTTAATTTTGGACATCACAAGATAGTATTCATTTACTACATTTTAGGAGCGAATTATGTACACGTTTGTTTTACTTTAGTTCGTAATGTTTCTATCAGGCTTCTTAAAAACCTGAATTGGGAAGAATTAAATCGCAAGATGTGTCCTTTATTATTCGCATTAATGATGTCTCGTACGGCATCCATTATTATTTGTGGACTAATTCCATCAGTCGTAAACTTATATACAATGGCAAAACATTTCGAGAAACACTGTAATTCCCCTTCTCAATAATTCCAATGATCACCTCAAACATGCGTCCCCCAGGGGTCATTTCTATCGAATAAAAATACCATGCACCAGTGACCGAATTATCGGAAAATTTACGAAAATCTACGATCCTATTTACTGTATAAATTTTCTTAATCTGAAGTCTGGGGCAGAGCCTTCTCCCTTTCGTGTCCTTGTAATCTTCAACAGCCTTCTCTACATGCTGAAGAAACACTTCAGCAGCTGCTCTGATGAATTTCATCAATAGGATTCCAAGGCTTGAAGGCAGTGCAGGTGCACCAGTGAGGGGAGATCCCACCGTCCGCACAGCCTCTCACCTTTGGCACTGGTTTAAATAAACTCTGGCATGTGAAACACCCAGTGCTTGCATTGGCTTCACCTGCAGACTCGATGAGAACCTCACGGAACGTCTCATAAAGGTCATAGGGTGAGGTCAGACGATGCTCATTGATTCTGAGTGATTCAACTACACTGGTATCTTCTCTCATCCAGTCTGGCAGTCTCAAATAAATGAAGGGCAGTCTCTCCTCGTACCACCCGATGAACGTCTTTCTCATTTCACCCCACCGCATCCCATGGTCACTCAAAAACACCACTAAAGTGTCCTTTATGACGCCCGATTTTTCAAATTTTTCGAACATCCCTAAGAGGTGATCGTCCACTGTTGAAAGTCCATTCACATCGTTATGGCTCACCGTATTCGTCCAAAAAAATCCGAAGTAAGGAGAACCGGCAAATGTCTCGGCGAAGTTAAATACATAATCAAAAACTCTATCCATTTCTAGTTCAGGTCCTGAACAGTATTTAGTACCGAATCTTGTTTTAGCCTTCAAGAGTCTCTCGCTAGCTAGCATGTAAGATCTGAGGTAGTAGTCGACTGGTGGAACTTTAAATCCGGTTTTTTACCGCGTAAAGTACCACGACAAAAGTAAAAAATGAATTTGTTTCTTTAATTTGAAAATCGCAGTCATGACTAGTGTTTCAGAAATTGAGTAACATCATTGAAGTACAAAAAATTGAGGAAGAAACTGAGGTGTCTATTTTACCCCATTTTTGCTTTACCTGACAACTCCTACAACGCAGTCTTACGATAATAAACTTCATTTTTATAAACTTCAAATGAAGTCGGAACAGTAGATTTGATCCAATAGAGAACTTGCATGAAGCTCAATTCTTTCCAATTCCCCTATTCACACATTTCGTATGTCTTATGATAATTATTTGAAAATCAGTCGTTTTCGAGACCAATTTTTCGGTCATGACGTCACAAAGACGGTCAGTTAACGTTTCATTGGCCGATGAAGAAGAGAGTGCGGAGTTGCCGTCCTCCATTGGCCGAGGCACTCTTCAAGATTGGGTTAGGTCGGCTCGAGCCATCTGTGATTGGTCCAGTGCTCGACCGCCTGTGTGACGTCATCAGCCATTTCAAAGCGTTTGAAATCTGCAACTTTAAACAATTCATTATCAATTAATGAGCAATATTTCAAACGTTTGTGACTGAAAAATGAATTATTCAGGTCCCAAACTTGAGATTGGAAAATTGAAAAAAAATGATGCAAGTTCCCTATTCAACTGATTATTTAAATCTGGTGTCCATATTGCCCCACCTGCCCCTATCGCGCTATTGTTGTTGTCGTTTCCACACAGGACTCAAGTCAAATTGTTCTCAAACTGAATTCAGTAAACCTCAAAAACTACGAAAATCACAGAAGCAAAAGTATTCCCAAAGGGATCTAGACAATTTTTCAACACCGAGAAACCCTAAAAAATCACAATTCAACACTCCAATGCCCAGCAGTGCCGGTAAGTCTCCCACCTAACCCCAAAATCCTTCGCCAATCCCACAAACCCCGTTAAAACGACGAAAAAAATTATTTTCAAGGCTAAACTCACTGAAATGAACTCCTCAACGCTCTCTCCACCAACCCTAGGTAACTCCTCCGGTAGAAGTGAGTCGCAGGACTCCGGTCTCTCCTCTTCAGGCACCAGTGGGACCCAGATGGTTAAGATATTCAACCACATGAAAGTGGATCTGCAGGTGCAGAAACAGCAGAAGAAACTGATAAAGGAGCTTCATCTCAAACGAGTCTCGTCCCTTCGAAAGGAGCTGGATTACCTGAAAGCAACCGAGTGGAGGTACCAAGCTATTGATGGTTATAAATAACCCCAAATCTACCCTGCAATCTTCACAAAACTCTTCAAAGACCTTAGAATCATTGACTCAACCTCTAGAATCATTGAAAAACTTTCGGGATTCTGATAAACTCCGAAAACTCCTCAGAATCCATAGAATGTTTCGTTGAAATTCCCCGAATCATCATAATTTGTCAATTTTCAAATGCGACATTCGCTCCTTAGAATGATTAAGATCGACCGAGTGAAATAAATCCACTACTGAAGGAGAAGCAGAATCTGAAGTAGCTCGAGGAAGTTGAGGACTTATTCTGAGATGTCAATAATTTTTCTTCAAAACACATCAGATCGTTGCAATTATTTTTTATGAGGAAGAGAAATAGAATGCCAAAACCTTGAGAAGCTTGAGATCTTTGGAAATTCAATAAACACACCAAACTCGATATAAAATTAATAAGATTTCGCTTTGAAATTACTCTTGTATTTATGATTTCTCGGTGGCCAAACGCTAAACTCGTTCTTTTGAGCATAACATCGGTTAAATGAAGTAAATGAAGTGCTGAAAAGAAGAGGCAGAATTATAAAAAAATTTTAGGAAATTGAGCACTTGTCCTGGGGAGCTGGAAAATTTGCTGACTTTTACTGAACTGCTTAGATTTCCCCAAACATTATAATTTTTTGGGTCTGAAGGACAGGTCAGGAATTTAATGAATACTATACAAAATTCATGAAATTTTCCCTTGGAATTTGCCCAATATCGATTACAGGAAGTAAGTGCAGTACTGAAAAGAAGAAGCAGAATTATAAAAACTTCGAGAAAATTAAACGGATATCCTGAGGATTTGAAAAATTTCTTGAATCCCACTTAACTGCTTGAAGGAGGAACAGAAATAGAATTTCAAAACCTTGAAAAGCTTGAAATCATCGCCAGGAATTTAATAAACACTACATAAAATTCATCAAATCTTTCCTCGGAATTTACTCAATATCGACTAAAGGAAGTAGTGAAATACTGAAAAGAAGAAACAGAATTATAAAAACTGAGGAAATTAAACACTTGTTCTGAGAATTTAGAAAATTTCCTGAATCCTCCTGAACTGCTTGAATTCCCCTGAACATAATTTTTTGGGTCTGGAGGACAATCACCACCTCCACTCGCCAAAAGCACTTTCTCCAAATATCGAAAGAAGGAACAGAAGTGGAATTTCAAAACCTTGAGACGCTTGAGATCATCGCCAGGAGTTTAATCACCACTACACAAAATTCATCAAATTTTCCCTCGGAATTTCTCCAACATCGATTAAAGAAACTAAGTGAAGTACTGAAAAGAAGAAGCAGAATTATAAAAACTTCGAGGAAATTAAACACTTGTCCTGAGAATTAAAAAAATTTCCTGAATCCTCCTGAACTGCTTGAATTCGCACTTTCTCCAAATATTAGAAGGTAAAGAACTCCGAAACAAGCAACAGAAATAGAATTCCAACATCCTCAGAAGCTCGAGATCATCACCGGGAATTTCGTTAACCCACCACCTAAAACAAAACTCTTTCTCAACACCTGTAATAAAAACCTCGAATATTGGTTTCAAAAATCGAACCAGAATTTGGAGAACGAACTCCATCGAGGAAAATCGAATAAGACACATTTTAAAGGAATAAAAAGCACATTGCTGCAGAAATCAACCACAAGATTGCAAAAATTCGATAAAAGCGTGAATATCCCTAAGAAACCCCATAAAACTCTGGCTTTTTGCGCTCTCAGAGGCTGCAATTCCCAAAAGATCCAGTTCTAACACTGAAGATTAGATTATTTAATCCTGGATCCATCGACGACCCCACAAAAATGTTTCCAGGCTTCTCAAGCCCCGTCGACGCCCTCCGTACCCTCTCCTCCACTGCAGACCTCAAACTGCCCTCCAAAATCTCCCATTCCCTCCACCTGCATCTCTAGAAACTCAAACACTCACACTTAAAATCTAAAACCTTAAAAAATCTATCGAAATCCCTCCAAAATGTTTTCAATTCTAAACTCCCTGAAATCCCTCTTCCTTCCGACGCCCCCTCCGACCCCAGACCTGGACTGCATAATCTCCCATTTCTCCAAAGCAGTCGACACCTTCGGCCTCTCGAGCGCCCCAGACCCCGAGGAGGCCTCAGTCCCCACCACCGGATGTTTCTACAAGACAGGAACCGTCACCTCCATCGCCAGTGAAAGTCTCCTCATCGACGACGTCTACTTCTGCGATCCGACCAACTGCGACGTCCCGAACCTCCAGTTGGGCACCAAGGTCCACTACCTGGCCTATCAAAAGTCCCCGAAGGATGAGATCAAGGTCAGGAGGATCCTGAGCGTCTACGACAACGCCTGGGACAGCTTCGTCGAGGAGACCCAGGCGCCAGTTGTCCAGAACCAACTGATGAAGAAAGCGATAGTAGCCAAGGTCATCAGACGAGAGGGGAGACTCGTTTTCCTGGACCCTCTGAACATCACCATCAACCTGGACAGCATCGACTCGACCTTCGTCCCCTACGTGGGGGACTGGGTGAGGGTTGAGTGCTTCGTCGAAGTCGACGAGCAGTCCCCAGACCTTGGGGGAGTGGTCCTGGAGGTTGAGAAACTCCAGCCACTGAGATCCAACCTGAAGATCGGGATCGTCAGCCACTTCGACGCTAGAACAGGGACTGGGGGGGTCGAACTGGACACAATCTTCTCGAAAGTCTCCTGCCAGCCTGGGTACATTCCCTCGGTGGGAGACAAAGTCGTCTGCGACTGCATCGAGAGCGACCAGGGGAAGTACACGTGGAGGTGCCTCTCGGTGGTTCCCCTGCACATCAGGAACATCTGCGATGCATCAGAAGAAAAAAGAGATCTGAAAGCCCTTGAAGACCACGATTTACTGATGAAGGAGAAGAATGGGGTGAGGGTCACCGAAGACTTGGGTCTTTTCCTCGAAGTCGGGGAGGAGAAGACTCTCGAGGTATTTGTCAGGAACTCTGGGGCCTCTCCTCAGGTTTTCTACAGGGGGATCTTCATGTCCAAGAAGTCCCAGTCCCAACTGACCCTGTTGTCCCCTGAAATCGACCAGACGCAGACGATAAATCCCTCCCAATCCCTCAAGTTCGTCTTCAAGGTCAAAGCGAAGTTCGTGGGGTTCACCGAGGAGCTCTTCATCTTCTCGTTCAGAGGATTCAAGATTGGGAGGACTTTCAAGATAACAGTGAATGCTAAGATGCCAGCGGGGTCTTCGGAGATCATTGGAGGGAGCAGACGAGGGAAGTTCATCGTCAGGGGAGACGACTGTGATCAGGAGAATTATGTTCCCGGTGTGAGGCCCTACAAGCCTCCGAATTTTATGGCAGTCAAGCAGAGGACGTTCAAGGTCCCCAGGAGACTCTGGGACGTGATCCTGTCGATTGTCAATGAGAGGACGCCCCAGAGAGAAGCAGAAGTGAGTCTTGCGGAGGAAATTCCTTGTCTCAATGAGGGACTGACGATTGACAACTACAGAGATCGGTTCCACAGTCTTCTGTACCTGGAGGAGATCAGCTTGAGCATTGACATGCAAAAGTACGACATGGAGAGCGCGATACTCAGGGCCAGTGACGAGTTTTTGGCTCTGGAAGTGCCAGGGCTGTCCGAGAAGAGGCCCTCGTTGATGATTGGGGACAAGGCTGTGGTGTCCTTCAGGTGGGACTCTTCCAGGGGGACTTATCAGTACGAGGGGTTCATCCATAAGGTGACCAGCTGCGAGGTGTTCATGAAGTTCAATCAGAGGTTCCACGACGATTATCAGGGGGAGGACTGTCAGGTGACGTTCAAGAGTTCTTACTCGTCGATCTCCAAGTGTCATAATGCTGTGGATCTGGCGGTGGGGAATCTGACGAGGGAGATTCTGTTTCCTACTTGTGTCAAGGAGAAAGAACCTCAGATTATTCTGGAGGAGATTGGAACGGGAGGAGAGGAGGGACGACGAGGAGAACGAAATTTGATGGGAAAAGTTGAAGAGCAAAGTTTGGGGGATAAGAATATTATTGAAGAGGGAAAGGGGAAAATCGAAGTTGATGAAGAATTAGGGAAAGGACGGTTGAGCCAATTGAATAAAAATATCGTTGCCAATCAGGATGAGAAAACCGTTCAAGGATTGTCGTCCACTTCACTAAATAACGAAAAACTTCAGATAACTCTGGGAAAAATCAAAGTAGAACCTGAAGCAGAGAACTCTTCACAAAACGATTCGAACAAATGCAATGAAAATCCTCAAAGAATATCAAAAATACAACTGACTCCACCTCCAACCCCTCCATACGACCAGGAAACTGAAACAATTCCTTCAATTAAATCCAAACTTCCCACCAAACCCCTAGACCTCCCCCCAGACAAATCCCTGAAGAGAAGAAAACTCGTCTGGTTCAACAAGTTCCTGAACACTCACCAGCAGATCGCAGTGAAGAACATTCTCCTGGGCACAGCTCGTCCCCTCCCCTACGTGATCTTCGGTCCCCCAGGTACAGGAAAAACCATCACCCTCTGCGAGACGATCCTCCAGATCCTGACGACCCTCCCCCAGAGCCGGCTGCTCATCGCCACCCCCTCAAACTCCTCAGCGAACCTCATCTCCGAGCGTCTGCTGGACTCTGGAGCCCTGAAACCCGGCGACCTAGTGAGACTGATCGCCCACCACTGCCTCCAGGACGACTCCATCCCCGAGAGACTGCTCCCCTACTGTGCAACTGGCAACCTAGCCTCGGAGAGTTCAGTTGGACGTTCGAGACACTACGGAGAGGGCCCCAAGGTCAACTGCACGACTAGTGTCCTTGGAAGACACAGGATAACGATTGGAACGTGCATAGCACTGGGGCAATTGTACCACATGGGCTTCCCTCGAGGTCACTTCTCCCACATCTTGGTGGACGAGGCTGGCCAGGCAACAGAGCCCGAGATACTCGTCCCCCTGACTTTGATCGAGGCCCATCAGGGACAGATCATCCTCGCTGGGGATCCCATGCAGCTGGGGCCAGTGGTCAACAGCAGGTTTGCGTCCTCCTTTGGACTGGGGGAGTCCTTTCTTGTGAGGCTACTCCAGCAGTTCCCCTATCAGAGGGATCCCGAGGGGTTCGCACGAGGGTACGACCCCAGATTAGTAACGAAATTGGTGATTAATTATCGCAGTCTTCCGGAGATCCTGCAACTGCCGAATTCTCTGTTCTATGATTCGGAACTTGAAGCCAGTCTGTCTGCAGTTGACAGTGAGGAAGCTCAGCTTCTGGAGACGCTGAGGGAGGAGCTCCCTGAGAGGACGCCGAGGAAACCTCCTGCTATTGTTTTCCATGGAGTCAATGGGGAGGACAAGCAGGATCCTGATAGCCCCAGTTGGTACAATCCTGCGGAAGCTACGCAGGTCTATCTGTACTTATTGAGGCTTTATGGTGCTGGACTCACGGGGGAGGACGTCGGGGTGATTGCTCCCTATCAGAAGCAAGTCAAGAGGATCAGGGAGCTGCTGATGGAGCTGGAGGTGGCGGTCCCCAAGGTCGGCAGTGTTGAGGAGTTCCAGGGACAAGAGAGGAAGGTTGTCATACTGTCTGCTGTCAGGTCGGGGGGGGATTTTGTGGGGGACGATGTCAAGCATGCACTCGGGTTCGTGGCTTCGCCGAGAAGGCTCAATGTCGCTATCACCAGGGCAAGGGCGTTGTTGATTATTGTTGGGAATCCGGTGTTGCTGCAGGGGGATCCTTACTGGAGGAGTGTGATCATGTATTGTGTTAGGAATGACAGTTATACTGGGTGTAATTTTGTTAAGTGGCAGGAGGAGGGCGGTGAGGGGAACGATCTGGATGAGAATGTTGGGGGTGATTGAGGATATCATGGCAGAATTCTTTTGCTCGCTTCGCTTGGTTAGATCGCCGTTTTCAAGCCCAGTGACATAAAATATTGCTTTCGACATTTCGAAGTTTTGGTGAGAAACTGTTTTGTAACGATAAGAGAGTGCTACCAGGACATGTGTGATAATTTTGTACTTGGAACGAAGAGATATTTCATGAAAAATGGAATGACGAGAAAGATTAAAAAATACAGTGAGTTGGTTAAAAGCTAGTTTAGGTAACATTAAATTCTGTTTTTTATTTGATTTTTATTTTTTGTTTTTGCGTCTCTGAGAGATGAGCCAGTGTTGAAAGAATCAACTGTGTATTTTTATTTTGCTTAAGAAGATGTGATCAAGAATTTTATAATTTAGTTTAGAGAGGAGCCTTGAACGACATTGTTGTTCACAATCTCATGAGCCACGAAATAGTATATTTCGTAACGAGTGCAAAAAAGTGGCGAGTGGGACGTTTATATCACGAGCCGAAGGCGAGTCCCACGAGCTAAAAAACATTTTTTCACGAGTTACGAACAATATTCTTCATCACAATGTAACGGAAGTTCACTTTTCGTCACAGCGTGATGAAAATGTATGTTATGACATTTTCCTCTAAACCCACTAATTCCCAAGGAGTAATTATCTCTGAGTCAGTGTTTTTAATTCATGTTCAAAAGGCTGATTAAAGCCTCATGTAATTTGCTTTTTATTCTATCGCAAATAATTTTTCTTCCACTTCCTGATCTAGAAGGAATTGTTAAAAAAATGTCCTTTTATCCACAAAAGATCGACAAAATACTGAATTATTTTATACTTAAAAGTCATGGGAAATAAAGGATAGATGGAATTTCTGAACGTGTCAACCAAAGGGATGTAAATAAGATTGAATCTAGATAATTCAAGTCCTCCTCCTCTTGTATTATTGCGCCGAATAATGCACTTTGTATTTTTATGATAAGAGTTTAAATATTGAGTATTGAATAATAAAAAGAGTTACATTTGAAATGTCCGCAAAACTCGTTTCTATTCACACAATCCTCATAAGTACCTCAGGAAGGAGTGATCCTACACGCCGAGATTTGAAACACAAATTTTTCGGAGAGCTTCCTCGATAAAAATTTCATTGCCATGTTTCTCCTGCTGATTTTTCGCCAGCAGATATTTTTACTATTGAGCAGATACTTTTCGTACTTGCCTACTGTATTTGTTCGTAAGAATTCGTAAAAACTTACCAACTCTACATTTGCTGCGAAGTAGCAGAACATAATACATCAATTTAATATTTTCAACAATAATTATTGTCAATTTATCTCGAACACAAATGATTTCAGGAAAACTACCCAAGCCTTTCTGTAAAAGAGAAAACCTCAACCAAGAGATGTGCTTTCAGTATTCTTTACCAAGATCATTCTCTCTAGAAAAAATCCATATCCAGTAAAATATGAATAAAGAAACTGCTAGAAATTTTTTTAAATTTCAGTAGCATTTGCATTCCAATTTTCAATGTTTTTAATCCTAAATCAATTGAAAATTAAGTCAAAGTGAAAGTTAATTCATGGAATTTTATTCAACTCAATTTTCCATCAGCAGAGTAATTCTATAGGTTTGTACGCTTTAAATTAAAAAAAACGGAATTTTCAATGGATTGAAAAATAAGACTAATAATTACCTGAATTTTCACGATTTTCATTGTCACATCAACCTAAAAATTACTGTTTGTAAAATTATGATATGTATTAAAAAATCTCCTACGAATTAATCGTTGTAATTTCAAATTCAATATTCAAAATTTCAGTACTGGTTTTCCAACAGTAAAATCGACTTCTCATCTTTTCGACGTCACCACCAAGCTAGTCTTTCTGCTTCAAGACAATAAAAAAAATCACCTCTCATCACTCATCAGCTACAAAAACCTACACTGAGAAAAAAAGTTTTTTGCCAAATATTCATTTACTTGAGAGAAACATTAATATTTTCAAAATTGTATTTCTTCAATCGAGTCATGCCCAGGCGAGCCTGATTAGGTTTCAGTGATAACAATCATATTGCTCAAGGGGGTGACTATTTTGCACATGACCTTGGAGGAACTCCTCTAATGATTATTCATTTTTCCGAAATTTCTCATTTTCTAGAGAGAAGAATATGGATTAATTTTTTAATGTTGACAATAATTAAAGGAGTTCATTCAATCTGATAACTAACATGATTATCTTCTAAACCAATCTAATTGACATAATTGAAACTTAATGAGGATTAATTGAAACCTGGGAATGACTCATCTAGAGGAATACGGTATTAAAAAAAATACTTCTCTTAAGAAAATGGATATTTGGCAAAAATAATTTTTTTCTCAGTCTACAAGCTCCATTTTGCCCACCCTACCCGAACCCACTCCACTCCCAAAGAGAAAAACTGATTTTCGATTTTACAGATAAAAATTCGTTTATTAAGACAATCATCGTTCTCCCCCCCTGAATTCCACATTATGAATCTTAAATTAACTCATCAGGTCACAAACCCCAGCAGCAGCCCTTGCCCTTAATTCCACACTATGCTGACAGGTTCCTGATTCTTAGCCTTCAGCTTCCTCTCGATCAAGTTCTCCAGAGCTTCGCTCCTGACACTCAGCGTCTCAATCTTCTCCACGAGCTGTTGATAAGGTGAGGCAGGCTGTCCCCCCATTACCACGTGCCCCAGTTTGCTGTCGATTTTTGCGTCGAGCCTGGCATTACGAATGAGATTGACGATCCAGCATTCAGCGACGTCAGCCTTCATGTTGAGCTTCTCCGCGAGCATTCCGATGGAAATGCACTGGTGGATCCTGCAGAAGGTCTCAAAGATCATGAGCCTCGCGTTCTCCACGAACTCATTGAGAAGAGCGATGAGGAAGAAATCGTTGAAGACCACTGTCTGGCACTCCTGGAGCTTCTGACGAGCCCCATCGAAGTCAAAGTTCACGTAGAGATGCTCTAGGAACTCGGTGATTGGGTCGCGATACGTGTAGGACTCCTGCTGGATTACCTTGACGAGATCCTTCAGGGTGGAACGTCTGGAGCGGTTGACGATAACAGCAGCAGCCAGGTAACGCAGGATGTGGGGGCACATGGTCTGGATGGCGTTGAGGTAGTGGGGACGGTACAGGAACATCTCGATTATCAGGTCCCTGCCTTTTGCGTGGTTGAAGAACACGAAGAGACTCCAGTGGATCAACCAGGTTCGCTGCTGGAGAACTTGGAGGGAATTGCCGATCACGTTGCTGTCGATGTACTCTCGGAGCTTGTTCACGTCCTCCAGGGCTGTGTCCCAGTTCTGGGCGAGGATTTCGGAGGCTAACTTACCCCAGAGCACGTTCAAGTAGTTCTGGAAGGGATAATTTCAATGAGTTGATTTGAGATTGGTTTTTGATGATTGGTTTGAGAATTTTGGGAGTAAGTGGTGTGGAGAGAGTTTTTTGGTGTGAATTTATGAGGTACAAAAAATGTCTCTCGATGATTCGCCCAATCAAGGATGTTTAACCATCTTTTATGTTTAATTTTCAATTTTTTTTTTTCATTCATTTTTTCATGTTTTTTTTATAAATCTAGGGTCAAACAAATTCAGACCACCAATCTTCCTTCGAAGATTGAGATAAATGAAACTGTTTTTGTGATGAGAATAAATAATTTGCCAAAAAATTTATTCGGATTAGTCCAATCAACGGTCGAGATTATACAAATTTGTCTGATTAACAAAATTTATAGTCTTGATAATCGGTTGTGACAAACTCGAATTGCTTTGTAAATTATTCATTCTTGTCACAAGCGTCGCTCGTGTTACTTCAATCGTTTACGCCTTTTCGACGTCAAATGGAGAACAAGATCGTCACAACAATGACTTGATCCTAGAAATTAGTTTTTTTTCAGTGCAGGAATGAGAGGAACAATGTTTTCATTATACACGAGCTCTTATGGGATTTACTTTTAAATTGATAATTCACGTAGTGGAATACTCCAAAAATGAAAATATGAAAATAATTGTATTATTTTTAAATAATCAACACGAAGATATAATAATTCAGTCTAAATTAGGTAAATTCAACGAAAAATATAAATAGAGACATAAATATAAAAGAAGAAATATAAATAGAGAAATAAATGGAGACTTTCTTTCATTTCGATAAATAGCAAGGTTTAGCTTATAACCAATTAAACATTGATTCAAAATAAGTTGTAGACGATCCAAAATGTTCGTATTGTGACGTCACAACGCAGACATTTCTTTAATTGGCTGTAACTTCTTATTCTTCGTGATTTTTCGGAATAAAAAAAATATATATCTAATGTTCTTCATCGAATCTTCATCTAATCTTCTGATTTCATTATTTTATTCAGTAAAAAAAATCATGCAACAACCCAATCGTATAGCTAATTCGAGGTATGTTTTAATGACGAAAAATATTTTTACCTTGTCTGTGGGTGGCATAATAAGCATGTAGAAGTACAAGTACGACGTTGTGATGGAGTAGTTTCCACACTCGTATCTGTACTTAGCCAATTTGACAAGATTATCCAACATCTCAATTTGGAAATCTAATTCTTGTGTTAAATAATTATTCAGGGCCTTTGAATCCCTCATTTCCTCCATCTTTTTCATCGCCTTCTCGTTGTTCATAATTGACACAACCACTGATACACTGTTTTGGAGCACTCCAAGCTCTTGCACGACTTCAGCACGACGAGACTTCAATGTCTGAAAAAAAAAGAAAACAATTTGTTTTTTTTTTATTAAAATTGCTGTGATGACCATTAATGGCTGAGAAGTGGAAGTTTTTTTTACGATGAATGGAAACAGTTCGAATAATCTTGGAGCAGGGATAGCCATATCCATCAATTATAATCACTGTTAAATTATTAAGTAGAAAAGTAGTTAATATCACCTTTTGAATTTTAATTATTGAAGTAATCATCAATTTAAATAGTCAAATTTTGAATTATTCAGTAATCAGTAATCGAGGTAGGAAGATTGACGATTATTTGGATAATCGGAAAGCCCTTATAAGAAATTAAGTATCATCTACTTAATAGAAAATTTATAGTTCCATATTTTTTAATATTTCATCAATTGGAAATTTAGGTCCGGTTGCACCAGCTTCGGGGTAACGAAAACGTGAGATAAGAAAAAAAGTAAATTTGGCTGGTCGATGGATTATTTTACTCTGGAGAGTATCTCAAATTTATCCCAGGAAGAAAAAATAGAATGTAAACCCAAGGTTAAATCAGTGTTAATTCAAATGGGGCTACAGCATAAATAAAAAATTATTCTTCGGGTCAAATATAAAAAAATGATGACTCCTACGATATAATTGACCCCAAGGATAAATTTTACCCTGGGTTTCATTTAGATAACAGGGCTTGGTGCAACCGGGCCTAAACCTTGTTCTATGTAAGTCGGAAAAATCCTTTTAATATTGAAGAAATTAATACTGATGGCCATCCCTCTTGGAGAAAACAATTAAAATAACGGCTCCACTACATCAATGAATGAACCAATGGATAAATTGAAAAGTAGTAAAATACCTCTGGAACCTCCACATCTGGATACAGTTGCATTCTGATATCGATAGCATAATCGATCATATTGGTTTTGCTGAGAATTGCCAGTTTGGCGTGGAGCAACTCATTCTCATCATAAATCTGTGAAGAAGATTATTACAGAATTATTAAAATAATCATGAATGTTTTTACTAATACCACAGACCGATCGTATTTCAGGTATCAAAAGACTTGGCATCCCTTCGACTCATCTGCCACTTTGTTATAAATGTAGGGGAAGTTGAGGTAAAATGGACCTTTTGAGCCATCAACATCTTTCGACTGAATTGTGCGATTGGAATGAATCACATGATCGCATTTTGAAGTCTAAACAAATAGGGGAGGGGTAAAATGGACACTTTTGACTTTTTTAAAAATGTTAATGACAGGTTGAAATAGTGTTGAAATTTAATAATTTTTTTCTTCAGTGCAAAGAGCAATTCTTGCCCTTTGTGGTGAGCCGAAACTGAACTTCATTGATAAGTTTGTTTATGCGTTATGAGTAATTAAAAAAAAGTCTAAAGTGTCCATTTTACCCCACCCTTCCCTACTTTGAAAACGAAGAAAAATTGTGCAATTTCACTCCCTCGAACGTAAGTGATTGATGACTAAAACGGTTCATTTTACCCTCGTCTCCCCCATATCAAGAATGAGTGATGATAAGACAAAACGTGAAAGGACCTTTTTATTCAAAATTACATACAAAACTTGGGCTAGATGGAGATGTGGCAATGCAGTGAGAGAGGGTAAAGGCAACTATATGGATACCAAATGCCGGGCATGCAATGACTCTGTAGAATCTATAGAGCACGCAATAAGCTGCGAGCTGGTGATGAGAAGACTGAAAGCAACAGATAGAGACTGGTGGACAGGCTGGAGAGGAAAGACAAATCAAAGAAGCTGGAGGAAGAAGTTAATAAATGCCCTAGCGGGAGAAGTAAATGTACCGTTGTGTGTAGGACTAGCTAAGATAGAAAAAGTGCTGAGAGATTACAGCGAAAAGAAATTTTAAGAAACTAGAAATTGCGAAAGTGCTCAAATTGTGATACTGTGATATTACCATCATCTGTTACACCCTAAAGACATTATTGACAAAAACAATTTATTGGAGTGTTATGGAGATATTTGTTGACTGGCTTGTGTAGATGTAAAACTGTAACAGTAGCATCAAGGAAATAAAATAGTCTTCTTCTTCTTCTACACACAAAACAGATCTGACATTTTCCGATGGACCCATTCCCTCCCCAAAAAAATCACATAATCAACAAAAATATTGAATTCAAAATTGATTCTCTCCTAATTAAAACATCACGATAATTCCACGTCTTCTCGCAGACAATTTTGAACATAATCCCCTCTAAAATTCCACCACTGAACATCCATAAGTTGCACATGCCACACGCATAACCCCAAAGCCACATGTTACTCTGGAACCGAAAAACCAGCTCACCTCCTTAGCCGAGAGGAACTCCAGCAGAGGAAACACCAAGTGACGGTCCAGATACTGTCCAATCTTCGATGTCAAATCGAATTTCGCCATGATTGCAATGAAATCCCAAAAATATGATGCTAACCACACAAACGAGGCGAGACCGCCGTCAAAAGGGACCTCGTCGAGGCGGCGACAGAGTTGCCAGATTGGGCGATTTGCCGCCAAATGGACGATTTTCAAAGTTCCTTTGGCGTCTAGATACGGACGTTGACGGTTTGACGATAATTTGGCGTGTTCGTAATATTTACGACTCGAGGAAAAAAATTACATAGTACAAACAATAATATTGACAAACAAACAATAATAAAAAATAATATTAAACAATAATAATAATATAACATATAAATAATCATATGTTTATGGCATAAAATTTGTAGTTTCCAATTCTTAATTTTTGTCATTTATTCTATTCATTTCTATCCCTGGTAAAACAGTCCGATTATTTTCGACTGGGTGATAAAAAATGAATCGGCGGTAATGATGTTTCTGTCTTTGCCCGTTAAATTCCGATTGCATGTTTCCAAAAAAGTGGTTGATAGATTTCATATTACGTACATAAATATTTAAATGAGTAATAAATATTAAAGATTTATATGAGCAAAATGATATCTATCAACCACTTTTTTGGAAAGTAATCGGACGATAACGGCCACATACCCTTGATCCTATTAATTCTCATAATTTTCTCAAACTCCAAACTCTACCTATCAGTCAATCGGATTTTAACGGGCAAAGACAGAGACATCATTAACGCCGGATTCATTTTTTATCACCCAGTTGGAAATAATCGGACTGTTTTACCAAGATATCGAAATACAAGGATAGAAATCGAATTTATGGATATTCTTTTATTATTCGAAAAAATATATCGATTATTTTGCATTTTTTCATTTCTTCTCATTCATAGGCTTCCCAGATTTCAAGAAAAAACAGTCATTCCAAGTTTCCACTGACACAAATGATGAAAAATAAATTTTTTCATTTTCTAGCCGATTATGTCTTTTTAAAAATTTTCAGTCTCCAATTGGTGATTTTTTCTATTCAATGTCATTCATTATATACCAACATCATGTCCAACAGAACATGTATTAATCCCCAATTGAAGTTTTGATGGATTTCGACGTATGTCTCACTGATTCTCGATAGAAATTTCTATCCCTTTTCAATAAAAAAAAAATTCATGGATTTTCAAAAGAAGTTTTCATCATTATCCATGTTTCCATTTCTCCTTAGTAATATTATAGAAATTTGTATACGTGAAATAACATATTGATTCAAATCAACTTACAATAATAATCAGTAGTAATATCCCAAGAGCTTCAAAATTATTGGGTATTTTCCGATAGCTTCGTTACAAACAAATGAGGGTGTCAAGTGTTGCACGTTAAAAAACCCCGAGCGTTTGCACGAGGGATTTTTTTGCAAAACTTGGCACGATGGTTTGTTTGCAGGGGAGTTTGAGGGAAATACCCGATTAATTTTGAATCTCGAGGGGTATTTGTCGGATTATTTTTCCCACTCGGATTTTGGCCAAGCAGAGTGCAGTGGACAACATCAGGAGCTGAATCGGGGGAAATTTAAACAAATTATGTTAATAGAATACCCCGATTTCCATAGATTGTCAAATATAAGATTCTATCTGAAATGAGCCGAAAAATGTGTGCCTACTGTGCCTACTGTGAAACGTTCAGGTAGAAAAAATGAAGAACTACTGCGAAATATTCAAAAGCTAGGAGAAAATCTCCGAAATAAAACTGCCTCAAATACTGCGCTCTGATTGGTCGCAATTCGATTGGAAAAACTAATCATGTGAAATCAATCATAGTCAACGTTGGGCATCTGTCGATGACCGCAGTTTTTTACATGACATTGTAAAAAACACGTAATTTACGTAATAAATGTAAAAAATGTAAAAAACCAGCCGACGTTACCTTTTATCGTAAACCGTGAAGCTTCGCGAAGATTATACCTCGCAAGGGTGATAAACCACGAGGGTCTCACCTCGTAATCGAGGATTTTAATCACTCGAGTCAGGAAATAGTTTTATCGCCGTGTGGCATACAATATTTTATGTCTCTGGGCCCGAAAACCGCGATTTAACCGAGGAAATCGATGTTAGAATCGCAGTTTTACGATCCTAGGGACATAAAATGATATTTTATGCCTCAAGTATCGAGAACCTCGTTCTAACCGAACAAAGTGAAATTAAAATTCGCTGTTTATCTGTCCTCGGGCCATAATATACTTTTTTTTATGTGTCCAATACTGCGTCTTCGTCACTCGGAATAAAATAAAACATTCTAGTAATCGAAAATTGCAAGCTTTTCGAAGGAATGTAAAAAATGTAAAAAATCCGTCGAGGTAATTTACGTAAATTACGTCGGTAAAAAACGGTGTAATTTACCAACGTAATTTAACGCCCAATCCTGATCATAGTGATAGGCGCGCGGAGCGCGCCTTCGATCTTTACATAAAAAATGGGCAATTCTTTTGGCAAAACTTCACTGGCGACGATCTCCAGCTGAAATACCTGGCAACACTGGGCGGCGGTCGTGGTAAATTCCCTGAAGTCATCAACAATCGCGATTTCACTATTCGATCAATCGAATGATCGCCAACAATGCGACCACTGTGGGGCGCCAGTAGCGAGAACTTTCGGGGGGCAAAAATCGCCCAAAACAAGACCTGAGGTGCACATTTTTTTCTAGTCGAAACAGTGATTAAAACCCAATTGAGTGAATTTAATCGGGATAAATTACGATCCTTGGGATTGTTGGTTGAATCTTCCGGGGATTCAGGAAAGTGCGGGAGGAGGAGGATTGAGAGGTGGTGGGTGGAACGGCCAGGCCCGTATCCACTCCAAACAAAACATGGACGCCGTGGGTATTGATACGTCGGAGCCGTCACAGGACGATGAGCCTGTTGAATCGGCGGTGGGAATATGTCGGGTTTGTTTACACGGCAACTTGATGATGAGAGATTTGTTTGGAGATGGTGAGGTTGTCTCGCTGTCCAGCAAGGCCATGAGCTTCGCCAGTGTTAAGGTGAGGAGGTGGGGGATGTCGTGGTGTTGACGGAGAGGCTGGCGATTCGTCTGGAACATCTGATTCTGGATTGCTCAGGGGTTTTAGTCCATTTTTCTTCTGTTGTGGTTTTTAATTTAGAGGGGGTTGAGTCCAATGGGTTTGGGGGGAAATGATTCTCCTGGACAATTTCTTCTGTCCTGGTTTTATTCGTTTGGGATGGAACGTAGGACGTTCAGGAAGAGAGAAGGTGAATTGAAGAGTTGTTTTTTTCAGGATTATTTTGATGGGGGTAATTTCAAAGGGCATTTTTTGTGGAAAATTTTGGCTGCAGTAAAAGGCTTCTGACATTTTAGAACAAAATTCATTGTTTCGAAGAAGAATCCAAGAATTAAGGGGAATATTAAATTTTGTAGCAAAGGAATGAAACGGTTTAAGTAGATTTTGACTTTTGGCCCATTTTCAATGCATATCTCCAAGTCTAAGGGAGATATCGAAATTTTTGTCAGTTTTGTAGCACTGAATTAGCTCTACAAAAAAGGCCTTCGCGAAAATTTCGCTATCTTAGATTCGGATATATTCCTCGAAAATTAAGTTCAGAACTAAGTCGACTTAAGGAGAAATGGAACCCCTGTGACGATTCCTACTTTCATTGAATATTCCATAAATAATAAAATGAAAATTTAACAATAAGTTATATGAAATCCCTCATATAATTACCAAAATATCATAAGCTCTTCGCTCAAAAAACTGAAATTCACAAATCCCCAAAAAATGTGGTAATTAGCTAATATAGCAACTCCAATTTTTTCGGAATATTGAGAGGTAAATATTAAGTTTTTATGTGATCTTGAAGTAATCGACGTATATTGTGTCGGAAACTGGCTGCTATAAATGAATTTAACCCCCGTGGGCTATTATACTTGGTAACGTGGATGCTCATGTAGATGTACGGGACCTCCCATTCTACGCTTTTCCTTCTAAAAAAAACAGTTTTTTAAATTCCTCGCATTACCCAGGGTACGCAGCCGGTAAGATCCCCACAAAGGTCATAATTTGACCCAGTCGTCCCTTCAAGTTGTTTTACCTAATTGAGTCCGAGTCAAACTTCTTGTTGATTTTAATTTCTTTTGTTGTTAAATGACGAATTAATTCAGTTTTCTCGAAAAATTCGTTAGAGTAGGGGAGGGTGGGGTAAAATGGACACTTTTGACTTTTTTTTAATTATTCATAACTCAGAAACAAATTTATCAATTGAGCTCAGTTCAGGCTCGCCACAAAGGGAAAGAAATGTTCTTTGCATTGAAAAAAAAAAATTAAATTTTACCAACATTTCAAGCCCTCATGAACATTTAAAAAAAATTCAAAAGTGTCCGTTTTACCCCAACCTCCTCTAGTTATATACTCTAATTCAGTAGCGAAGCGGGAAACCGGGTGAAGTCGTTTTTTACTTTTGGTCAGTTTTTGATGAATATCTCGGAATCTAAGAGAGATAGTAAAATTTTTCTCACGACCTTTTTTATAACCCTCAATTGGGTCTACAGAAGGGTCAAAAGGGTCTTGATAGAAATTTTTTTTCTGTTTTCTGAGCGGGAGGAAAGTCTTGACTTTCCGCCCTTCGGAGCAACTTTCCACCCTAGGGCGAAAAGTACTCACTTTCCTCCCGCTCATCAAAGAGCAAATATACTATTGTCACAATCTTTTCTTTGACCCTTTTGTAGAGCCAATTGAGGGTTATAAAAAAGGCCGTGACAAAAATGTTCTATCTCTTTTAGATTCCGAGATATTCGTCGAAAATTGGCCAATAATCAAAATCGTCTTAACCCGGTTTACCGCTTCGCTACTGAATTACCAAAAATTTATCTATCAACCTGATGTCCATTTCAGATGATCCAAGGAGACGGTCTCCCCTGCCAAGTCTGCTGCGACTGTGCGGAGAAGCTCGAGTCCGCCTACGAGTTCAAACTCCAGGTGGAGCAGGCCGACAGCGTCCTCCACGAGCGATACGACGGTCTGAACATAAAAGAAGAGCTCTTCTTCAACGAGGTTGAGGTTCACTTGGAGAACGATCGTCACGATGAAGTCGCAGAGATGGACGTTGACGCCCAATACGACGCAGCATCAGAGGCCCTGAACGTCTCTGACCCCGAGAAGTCAACCCTCCTGAAGGACCACCTGGCGCTCCTCGAGGTAGAGAAGCTCGCCGAGCGAGATCACGTCCTGAGCCACTCGGAAATGATCCAGGAGGCCTCCCACCCTCCTCAACTCACCCACCACCGGATCCAAGAATCCCCCCTCAAGGAGCCACTCCTCCAATCCCAAGAGGACTACCTCGACGAGCCCTCTGAGCCCTCCACCCACGAGATCCTCATGTCCCCTGACGATGAATGCCACATAAAGGCGGAAGGCCTTAACCCAGGGGAAATGACCATCGACGAGCACAACTACATGGTCCAGCAGGGCTACACTCTGACGAACGAGCAGGAGCAGCAACTAATGCAACAGGATAACGACGACAATGGCTCCCAGGACTTCCCCACTTTAATGCTGGAGGATGAAGACCCTGAGGAGGCTGAAGCTGCTGAGAATGAGGCTCAGGAGCAAGAGCAGGAGCTGCACGAAGAACTAGAGCAGCCCGAAATCGCCCTTGACCCCAAGCCCCAAGAGACTGAACCCCTCGAGGTAGAGCCCTTGCCCTCGAAAGCCAAAAGATCTCGAAAAGATTCAGACCAAAACTCCTCGGAAGACAATTACTTTGAGAATCTCAACCTGAGCAGTAGACTGAAGCAGTTCGACGATGAAAAATCAGACAAAATATTCTTCATGTGTTACTTCTGCGATAAGCAATTCGTGTCGAAAGTGATATTAAAAGAGCACATGCATTCTCACGAAGAAGTTCGTAAGACACTGTCTCTGAAGAAGACCCCGGAGAAGGCTCAGAAGCCCCACACACCCACTGTGAAGTCCCAACCATCGGGGAAGAAGGCGAATAAGTGCCCCTACTGTGGTAAAGAGTACCTCTACGTGATTTCCTTCAACAAGCACATCAAGCAGCACGAGAAGAACGAAGACGAATTGAAGCAAGAGTCAAACGTCGAGGACTCGGACTCCGAGGGCTTCGACAATACCGACACCTTCGAGGTGATTCACGACGATAGATCAGAGACTCCTGACGATTCGGATCGTCCAGTGAAGACCGAAGGATCAGACTTGACTCAGGAGATCTTCCCCTGCGCCAAGTGCCACGAGAAATTCCCATCAAAGACAGACCTCCAACGTCACACTCTCCACCACAATCAGACAGAAACAGACAGATGTAACATCTGCTCCTTGGAGTTCGAGTCGTCAGAAAAGCTGAAGGAGCATCGTTCCACACACGTGATGGAGGGCGTCCTCTCCGAGCAAGATCTTCGTGACGAACTGTCCAACATCTGTGCGAAAGAGTACGAAGAGAAGTCTCTGGGCAGACTGGACCCCGACGACAAGGACCTGAAGTGTCGAAGCTGCTCCATGACCTTCATGTCGAAGAAGCTTCTGATAAAACACATGGATTCCCACGAGCGCACCAAGTACAGGTGCAAACTCTGCACCCAAGAGTTCACGAAGAAGGATCATTTGAGAAAGCACGCTGAGCAGCACTCGAGGGTAAAGTCCTTCAAGTGCACGCAGTGCAGTAAAGTCTTCGGTAATGAACTCACCCTGCGAAACCATCTGATTGCCACTAATCACAAGACGATACATCAGGGTGAGGAGTACGATCCGAACAAGAGGATAAAAAGAGTGGCTGCCAAGGCTGCTCAGAAGATAATCGACAAAATAAAAACCGAGGATGGATTGGAGGACTCTGATCAGGAGGATGGCGAAGATTTTCGGGAGGACCAGAAGTCCAACGACAAGTCGTCAAAAAGAACGAACCGAAGAGACTTGGAATGCGCCACGTGTGGGAAGAGATGCAGCTCCAAGCAGTACCTGCTGCGACACATGGAGCTGCACTCGAAGGACGAAAAGCCGGACTCGAATCAGTTGAAGGTTAAGCAGAACGATCTGGGCTCGATGCAGAGAACCTGTGGAGTCGGTTTCCCCAGGGATTTTGACGACAACTCTGACGACGACTTTGAGAGTGGCTTGGACTGGCCGATGGACACTCATGAGTGCACAACCTGCAAGAAGCGTTACAGCACGAAGAAGTCGTTGCTGAGACATCAGCTACTGCACGAGGAACCCAACTTTGAATGTGACATCTGCAACGTGAAGTTCTACAGGAAGGACAAGCTCAAGGCCCACTACGACAAGTGTTCTGAGAAGAATCCAGACCAAGTGAGGAAGTGCAACATCTGTGGTGACACCTTCGAGAACAACGAGATCCTGAAGGAGCATCGGGCTAAGCACGTGGACGAGGGGATTCTGACTGAAGAGGACCTGAGGGAGCTGGAGCCCAGCACTGAGGATCGCAAGTCAGGGGAGAAGATCGCGAGAAAACGAAGGACAGATATCGTCGGGCTAGAATGCACAGAATGCAACAAGCAGTACACCTCCAGAAAAGGATTGCTAAGGCACATTCAGGTGCACGAGGGGAAGAAGTATCTCTGCGACATCTGCCCCAAGAAGTTCTACAGAAGGGAACACCTGAAGATTCACGTGGCTAAGCACAACATGGTGAAGCCTTACAAGTGCACGAGGTGCTCCAAGCGATTCATCAAGGAGGAGCAGTTGGCTGCGCACTTGACTAAACACGAGAGAACCTTCAAGAAGAACAAGGAGACTGACTCCACGTCGAAGAGGTTCCTCTGCGAAATATGCTCCAAGAGTTTTACGCAGTCGACAACCCTGGTAGCTCATCTCAGAGCGCATAATGGGATTAAACCTTATGTGTGTGAGGTTTGTGCAAGGCCTTTCACAACGAATGCATATTTGAAGATGCATATGAGAACGCACACTCAGGAGAGGCCCTACAGCTGTCAGTTCTGCTCGAGGGCCTTCGCCAGGGCTGACACTCTGGCTAATCATCTCACTTCTCATACTGGAGAGGCCAAGTACCACTGTAAATACTGTCCCAAGAACTTCAGGAGGCTGAAGTCGCTGAAGGAACATGTGTTCATTCACACTGGGCAGAGACCCTATGCCTGTCCCACGTGCGATCGGAGGTTCAATAATAATGGGAGCAGGTATGCACACTCGAAGAGGTGTAAACAGAATCTCCTGCAGAACCAAGGAAGACAGGGCCAGGCCCAGGGGCAGGCGCAGGGGCAGGCGCAGGCGCAGATGCAAGTACAAAGTCAGGAGATTCAGGCGGTTGTGATTGATAATCAAGGGGTGCAGGAGATTCACGAAGTCCAGCAGGTTCAGACTGTCCAGCAGGTGCAGCAAGTCCAACAAGTGCAGATTCAACAGCAGAATCAGGCGCAGACCATCAGGTTGGGCCCCACCATGGGACCCACCATGCAGGTTGTGCAGAACAAGAATATCAAGACGATTACCATCACCAGGCAGCCGGATCAGGTGGGGCACCAGGTCATTCAGCATCAGGAGATTCTTATGCCGTTGATCCTGCCTCTGACGGTTACACTGACTGATGTGGATGATGAGGTGATACTGCCTGAGGGGACGAAGATTTTTACGACTACGTAGTAGTGGGACACTAGGGGAGGGAAGTAGGGGGGTGGTGATGAGGTTGAGGGGGAGACAGGGTGATTATTGAGGGCTGGGGATTACTTGTGCCATTTTGGGGCGCCATTAAGGGGAGACTAGGAGTTTTTTAAGTCAAGGGCGGTTGGAGTCAGATTTCTCATACATTGAAGGTCGATTATATAGGTCTAAAAGTGAAATTGAATTTTTTTGTTAGTGCAAAAAATTAATTGTTTAATGCTCGTTTGCCCCGCAGTCACTTAAAATGTTGAAAATAGTCCAGGGCCTACAATTTTTGAGCTACAGAGGTTTCCTTTTTTTCAAAATTTGTGAAACAATGTGGGCAATAGTAATTACGAATTAGTTTCTCGAAATTCGACTCCTACGCAGCTAATTTCGTTTCCTTTAAAATAAAAATTTGCGTCATACATGTAAAATAGGCAGAAAAATTATCCTTAAAATATTTAAAATATATTCTCGGATCTTTCAGAAACATTTTTCAGGCTATTTTACATGAATGGTGCAATTTTTTATTAAATTGGAGTTGAATTTCAAAAAATTAATTCGTAATTGTTATTGCATATATTTGTTCAAAAATTTTGAGAAAGAAGAAACCTCTGTAGCTCAAAAATTGGAGGCCCTGGACTATTTTTAACATTTTAAGTGTCTGGGGGGTAAACGACCAATAAACATTTAATTTTTTTGCCATCACTATTCATTTTTAGACATATATAATCGATCTTCAATGCATAAGAAATTGCATTCCAATAGCCCGCGACTTTTAAAATTCATAGTAGTCTCCCCTTAAGACGACTGAGGAGGTTCGCGAGCTTTTGAGGTCGACTCTGCGGGTTTGGACTTATTGGAGATTGATTGGGAGTCATTTCATGTAGAACTGGGTAGAAGAGAAGTTCTGTAAGGATTATTCCGGAAATATCTTGGGAATGCGGTTGAGGAAAATGAGTAGAAAATTTAGCGCATTTTATGGAAAATTCTGTTGACTTTCTGTTGAGATTCCAATAGAATTCTATTGAATATCTATTGAAGGTGAACTTCTACATTGAGAAAAAACGAAAGAGTTCTCAAAACGAGTTTTACTAGTACCAAAAAAATTTTTTATCATTCCGGCCGTATGACAAAAAATATGACGTTATGACTTTATGACAAAAAAATATTATTCGTCACATGGCCTAAAAAAACTTTTCTAGCTCATATGATGGCAAATCAATATTCGCCAGAAAAGTTTTTTTTCGACCTAATTACGAAATGTACGGTTTTTTTAAGTTATCAAAAAAGGATTTTTTTATATCAAATATGCAAAAAGTGCGCCGAGATGAAATTTTTTTGTCGCAAAAATAGATTCAGTAGTTCCAAAAAAATTGTATTCTCTGTGCAAGTAAGAAATATCATTTTTATCACTACTTCCGAAAAGCACAATAATCGGAAAAAAACTTTGTTTTATACCATGGAATCTAACGAAGACTGAAAAAAAAGTTTGAATCGGATAAAAATTGTTCTGCGAGGAGTATTTCAAAATAAAAAACACGAAAAACCACGTTTTCGCCTTGAGGTGCGGGGTGAAATGGACTGAGTACGGATTTTTTTTAGTTTTTTTGGTAACTCGTGATATATCAAAAGTCGCTCGACAGTTATTTTCATCAATCGAAGACTTTCAAATTCACCTACGCCCCCTTAAAAAAATTAGGTGTGTAGAAGAACCAAAATCTATTTATTTTTTTTTCTATTAAATTATTCTAAAACAATTCCCACATGACTGTGAAATTTTCAAATGAAATCGGAACACAATGAATATAATTCTTAATGGAATTTCATCCGCAATTCAATAGCAAAACTTTCCGAAAGCGCTAGGCTACAAAATATTTCCAAAATATTTGGTTCTAGGAGAAAACATCAAGAGAGTTTTCTTTGTACGAAATTGAATTGGATAGCGAGGTTGTGGAGGGTAACAATTAGATTTTTTACATTTCGTCGAACATCAAAATACCTCGATAAAATGTGAAATTAGAAGCAAACGTCACAGAAAATTTAATGAAAAATTTCATCAGTTATAAAAAATTTTTTTGATGTTATCTTCTGAAATGACACCCTTTTGAGATATCTATACAATTACCAAGAATGCCAAATTCAAATTGTTACGGTTTTCCATCTTGCTACTGAATTCCGAAGAAAAGAAATCTCTGGAGGATTTTTTATGAACTTCGCTAGATTTGTGAGATAACACGGTTTAACAAAATTCGGACTATTCGATCTCGAAAACGAAACCAACCCCATCTTATAAATATTTTAATGCTGATTTTAAATTTCTTCTGAAAAATCTCGTCAGCACGTCTAGTTTTCGAGGAGAAAAAAGTTGAAATGTTGAAAAATCACTAAAATAAACAGTTTGAAAAATTTGTAAAAAAATTAATTTGAACGTAGCTTTCCGTCGAAAAAATCTCTGAATTAATGAAAATGCGATTTGTTCAATGGATTCGATTTCATCTCAATTGATTGAGTCAAAATGAGTAAAAAAAATCCTGAAAAAGTCTCCATTTCGTAATTTTTCTTGTGAAAGCAAGTGATCGAAAGCTGATTGCACACACTTTGATGCACGCCAATTGGAAATCTATCTACACCCGTGTATTACCCTCGACTTGACTAAACATGAACTTTGAGGATGCCTTTTTTGCAGGGTAATCGGTTAATTGCCCTTATGAGAAGCCACTCTCAATTGTGGAGAGGTTTAGTTGCTGAAATAAAGTTGAAAAACACCTGTGCAGATAGATTTGAGATTGGCATGCATCAAAGTGTGTGCAGCCAACTTTCAGTCATTTAATTTCACAAGAAAAATCATGAAATTTGAACTTTTTCGATATTTTTTTCGCTCACTTCGTCAACTAATTGTCAACAAATTGTATTTTCAAAAAAAAAATGGCGAATGGCGGATGGGAATTGCGAATTGTATTGTATTGTATTGTATTGTTTTTTTGAGGTTGTATTCATTGTATTTTTTATGGAAAAAACTACGTCCAAATTCGTTTTTATATAAATTTTTTAAATTGCACTTTTCCGCCACTTTACAACACGTCAACATGTTTTTCCATGAAAACTAAACGTGTTAGAAAGATTTTCCAGAAGAAATTTAAAATCAGCATCAAACTATCTATGAAATGCAGTCGACCTAGCTCTTAACTGAGTTTTCGAGGATATCTCCAAATCTAAGGGAAATAGCGAAATTTTCGGGAATATATTTTTTGTAGCTCTCAATGTGATCTACAAAAAAGGTAGTAACAAAAATTTCACAATCTGCCTTAGATTCCGAGATATTCATTGAAAACTGAGGAAATAGTAAAAATTGACCTAAACCGTTTTACTACTTCACTACTGAGTTTACTACTAGGTAGAGGAGTGATGGAAAATTCTCAGAAAGCTTTTGTTAGGGATCTTGTCAAGAGAATATTTTTTGACACTCCTTCCTAAAATGATTATGAATGATTGAGAATGGAGTCGTCTAGTATTGTCACTCAATCTTCATGCATAGGATACTAAGGGTAAATTCGTGGATCAAGTGAACAATTTTTATATATGTCGACACCTTTATCGTCAGCTTTGTGTATAATACGTTAAATAAAAAAATTATTTTTTCATGGAATATATATCATAATGTAACTGAGGAGGAGTGATGAGTATTCGTAGTCGATTTATCGAGAAAAATGAGGATTTAGTTCATCAGATTATTTGAGTTTTAGTTTTTGAAAACCTGGGAAAACCGAATGACGAGAGAGAGGTTTTCCAATTTTTCTTTAGAAGGTTTGACGTACGAAGGGGATTCGTATGGATTTATCGACTTTACGGAGACGTTTGATGGGTTGAACAATTTGTACTTGTAGATTCTGATTTCTTATACGTTTATCTCTTCCTCGTTTTGGACCTTTTGGAGATGAAGATGCGGAGCTAGTGGTAGAATTATTAGGTAACTCCTTTCCATTTTTAATGTACATAACTGTTATAGTGTGAATAAACGAAACTTTGTAGCGTTTAAACGATTTCAAGTTTCTTTATTATTCTAGTTATTAAGGGAATTAAGTTTTATTCATCAGCATTACAGTCCTCGATTATTTCAGGGCTTTTTTCACACGTTTTTGTATTTCAACTTATTTGGGGAGAATAATAGAGCGCACTTATTAGTGAATGTTATTTACAATTAGTGAAATTGTGGAAACATTTCATTTATCAAGAATGCCATTTCTTTACTAGTACGTCATGTACTCTTCCAATACTTTGAATAAATTTTTTTAATCATCTAAAGGTTTATCATTGCTTTCCATGTCTGATATTTTGTTTTATGGGAGAAAGATCCTGTTAAAAGCTGAATTATTCTATCCAATTTTATTTGTTGAAGAAAAGAAAGAGGAAATACTCTCCAAATAGCTCCATTCCCTATAGAAATAAAAATTGATCGCTCGTTCAATGAAAAGATTTTCAAAAATTTATATTTTCTGATGATCTTTTTTCAGTTCATTCCATGTTTTTGGCCAATTTTTCCTTTCATTTTTTAACATTTCAATCATTTTGCCATTCTCTATTCCTCATAAATCTTTTTGATTTTTTCCTTGAAGGGAGTCGAGTTTTATCCGCTATCATTACAATCTGCAATTATTCTGGAGCTTTTTTCATCCGTCTTTCGTGTTCTAAATTATTTCCGCAGAATAATAAAACGCACTTATTAGTAAATGCTATTTCGAATTAGTGAAATTGTGGAAGCGTTCCAAGAATGCCATTTCCTTCCTAGTACGTCATGTACTCTTCCAGTACTTTAAATAATTTTTTTAATCATCTAAAGGTTTATCATTGCTTTCTCTGTCTGATATTTTGTTTTATGGGGGAATGCTCGTGTTAAAAGCTGAATTATTCTGTCCAATTTTATTCGTCGAAGAAAAGAAAGAGAAAATACTCTTCAAATAGCTCTATTCACTATAGAAAAAGATGATTGGTCGCTCTTTCAATTGTAGATTTTGAAAAATTTCTATTTTCTGATGAACTTTCTTCAATTCATTTAATAAAAAAATGAAAAAAAATATCTAACGGAATGAATCAATTAACGTGTTTAACTGGATTGAATGGAATTTTCTTTGGCCAATTTTTCCTCGCATTTTCTAACATTTCAATTATTTTTCCATTCTCTATTCCTCATGAATATTTTTTTGTTTATCCCTTGAAGGGAATTGAGTTTTACCCGACATTACAATCCTCAATTACTCCCGAGCTATTTTAATCTGTTTTTGTGTTCTAAATTATTTGCGCAGAATAATAGAACACACTTATTAATAAATGTTATTCCGAATTCATGAAATTATTGAGACGAAAGAAAGAGAAAATTCTCTCCAAATAGCTCCATTCACTATAGAAAAAAAAATTGATTGCTCTTTCAATTGTAGATTTCGAACAATTCTGATGGTCTTTCTTCCGTTCATTCCATAAAAAAAATAAAAAAATAATTCAAAGGAATAAGAGGAATAATTAATGGGATGTTGGAAGAGTTCAGCAATACTAATTTATTGTCAAATCGTGACGTTTCGCTGCAAATCGCAGCTTCTTCAGGCTCTGAAAACCAAACATAAATTACATGACCGAATGTCACTAAATTTTACAATAAAACTCACACAAATACATTGATTGTAATCAAAATAAACACTCTAGCCTGTAATACTGAAAATTGCAAAGGAATGAATCAATTACCGTGATTAACTTGAGGAAGGAATGTATGTTCTTTGGTCAATTTTCCCTTCCATTTTTTAACATTTCGGTTATTTTTCTATTCTCTATTTCTCATAAATCTTTTTTTATTTATTTCCTTCAAAAAATGTTATTAATTCAACAGAACGCAAACGAAGAAGAGTTTCATTTACAATTAATTAGCAAACAATGAGTCACTGTAGAATTATTTCCATAATATTCTCATAATATTATTTCTGTTTGTGTTAAATGCGCTGAGAATTAGGGATGACATTTTGGAGAAAAAATTCAGGACCCTCGCGAAACCTGACCAGTTAATCACAAAATACTTGCAATCCCTGCCTATTGTTCCTATCAATGATTTTTGATTTCTGAATTGAATTTCGCCTCTCTCAATTATGTTTATAATTTAGCTTTAATTTTGCTCTAAGCAGCGTCCGGCTCACTATGAAATGTATATTCTTTTCTTGAGAGCTATTCATATCTATTTTTCTTTTGTTTCACTCTTTTTCAGTTATCGAATACGTTAATTTTGTATACACACTATGTATTATATATTCTCTATTTTTATTGGCAACCCCCCTCTGTCATAGGAAGGACCACCCTGTAAGACAGAGTAAATAAATAAAATAAATAAATAAATAAATATTCTCATAATAAAAATAAGTCCAAAGAATGTAAAAATGTGAAAATGACTTCATTCTCCGTGAAATCGCCGCCAATTTAGAGAAATTTAAATTTCCTTCATTCATCCTTCATTCAATATATCTTTCTCACTCGTAAAACTTGTTGTTCTATTTTTACGGTACGGACTAAAAGTCTGTTATGCTTGAAATTCAAAGAAATCTAGTAAAAACCCGTTTAAATCCCCTTCCATCCAGACCTGCGCAATGCGACCCCTCCCACTCGCGCCCAATCAGATGTTCCATAAAAAATTCTCCCGCGTATGTGTGACTTAAAAACAATGAAAAACACCTGTGGCTGTAAACAAAGTCCTCAGCCACCCCCGGATACCTCAACCGCCCCTAAAAACTCTCCGGGAGACTCGAGTTCCCCTCAAACAGCGCTTCGAAACCCAAAACCGAGGGAGTTTCCATCCCTGTTGACATAACGTCTGTCCATGTGTAAGTGTAACCGTCGTGGGGGCCGACTACAGTGCATTCCATTCCGTGCTCACGTACTACACAGTTTCCTCCTGTTCCCCCGAAAATCGGAATCTCCCTCGACTTTTCCGACTTACGTAATCGAAAATATGTGAATTAAAATCCGAAGAAAATATAAATAAACAACTTTTTCACGGGAATTCCCTGAAAAGTAGTGAAAAGTTGGTGAATAGTGGGAACTGCGCACTCTCCAGTGACTCGGGCGATAATGCCCCCCCAGTAATTGACCGATAATTATCCGATAAAATGTAACTAGTGGAGTGAGGATTATTGGTGATTGTATGTGCATCATTGGGAGGAAAATCTGGAATAAAAGTTAGCGATAATGCACACGGAGAACTGCTCGTCGTCGAAGCTCGATACTTCCGAGATATCATCTGTTCAGTCCACCGTAAACAACGTCTCCATATTGGAGGAGGATCTCGCCCTCAGTTCGTCGACCCTCGGTAATTATCTGGACAATAATTATCATTGTTTGTCCCGGGGAATTGTTTGTTCGGTTTGTTTTGGCGGCCCGGGGGTGAGGATGGGGTTTCGGGGGTTTTTTTCGTCACGAGGTTAGGAGAATTACCCGCCATGTTGGATCACGGGGTTCTGATTACTCCCGCCCTTTAATTAGTGCTGATTAAAAATAGATTTCTGTAAACAATTGTTGGGGTTTTAAAGTTATTCTTCGCAATTTTTTGTAGTTCGTTTTGAGGTTTCGAGTCATGTTGTTGAAAAAAATATAAGAAAGTATTCTCCAAAGAACTGTTCACTGCAGAGAAGATTTGATTGCTCTTTCTTCAATCGCAAATTTGGGGAAATTGTCATTTTCTAAAGATCTTTCTGTCGTTTATTTTCGTGAGAAAATGAAAAAAATTATTTTAGAAAAATTAATCAATTGACTTGGAGTTCTGATTACTTTCGGCTTTCAATTTGTTTTGATTAAAAATAGATTTCTGTAAACAATTTTTGGGGGTTTTAAAGTTATTTGCTGCACATTTCTTGCAAATTTTTTTTTGAGGCTCTGAGTTATGCTATTGAAAAAAATGGAAGGAGATGCTCTTCAAAGAACTCTGCTCACTGCAGAGAAAATTTGATTGCTCTTTCTTCAATCGCAAATTTTGGGAAATTGTCATTTTCTAAAGATCTTTCTTTCGTTAATTTTCGTGAGAAAATGAAAAAAATTATTTTAGAAAAATTAATCAATTGACTTGGAGTTCTGATTACTCCCTCCTTTTAATTAGTGCTGATTAAGAATAGATTTCTGTAAACAATTGTTAAGGTTTTTAAAGTTATTTGCTGCAAATTTTTTTGACGATTTTTTTTTGAGACTCTGAGTTATGCTATTGAAAAAAATGGAAGGAGATGCTCTTCAAAGAACTCTGCTCACTGCAGAGAAAATTTGATTGCTCTTTCTTCAATCGCAAATTTTGGGAAGTTGTCATTTTCTAATGATCTTTCTGTCGTTAATTTTCGTGAGAAAATGAAACAAATTATTTTACAAAAATTAATCAATTGACTTGGAGTTCTGATTACTTTCGCCTTTCAATTAGTTCTGATTGAAAATAGATTTCTGTAAACAATGGTTGGGGTTTTTAAAGTTAATTTTCCTGATTTCTAGTAACCCTCGAGGGATAATTGAACTTAAATTGACGCCTTCCAATCAATTGTTCATCAAATTGCGAATTGAGCAATTTCAATGACGAAGTTACTTGAAATTTCAGGACAACGGTCACTTGATAACAATTTCCAAGAAATACCCCGGAAATATCAACCCAAAATTTTCAACAGTCCATTTAATTAAAATTTTGTTTGAATGCTATTTGAGAATATTTTTGTTTTTAAATCGGGGCGGGGCAAAACGGATATTTTCGAATATTTGAACAATCGAGGGGAATAAAATTAACTGCATTTCGAAGAATCTAATAGTGCTTATCGAGTGATATAATTGTTATTTGCATAATCTAATCATCGTGCTCGCAATGTCATCAAATAGAAGCAAATAAATAGTCTATTCATCGTTATTTCGTCATTTATCGTTATTCGTGTCCCGTTTTTACTATTTTTCCTTTCCGTGGCATTTTGTTGTACATGCTCTTTGCTCTTTCCGAACGGGAAACAGCGTTCTTTCCACAGACGATCCGTCGTGGTTACCATTCCACTTAGTGATTACGTTTAGCGCAGCTAGAGATGCAAAATGACCGTCTTTTTTCGGATGAAGTCATATGACCAAAAAATGACAGCCTTGTGACGGTCATTTGCGTACAATTTTTTCAACTACAAATGATGTTCACAAATAAAACAATTGTTTTATCTACATAGATGAAAAATGTTCGTGATTTTCATTTCAAAGTGAACAGTAGGCTAATACGAAATGAATTTAAATAAAAATTGATGAAGAAAATATGAAGCTCACTCTACATAAATGAAAAAAGTGTCATTTTTCTTGGAAAATTGTGACAATTTATGGATTCTCTATGGATTTATTCAGTCAATCAACCCTTGTGACGTCATTAGCGATTTCAAAGCGTTTGAAATTTCAACCTCTTGACACTCAATTATTAATCAACGAGCAATATTTCTAACAATCATTAATGCAAATTAATCATTTAAGGCCCGGGTGGATTATCTTTCGAACGTGATCTTGGTTGTTTTTTTTATTTTGAAAATCTGCAATGATTTCCAATTGCTACGCAGTTTTACATAGCCCTGGAGTCTCCAAAAATTATGATTGTACAATCAAAAAAATGCTTTAAAAAGCTGAACATTTTCAAAGCGCATTTTTTAATAATATTGGAAAATAAACCCAGTAGGGAGGAAATTGCAAATTAATAATTTGATGTATCTAATGGCTGTTAAGTCGCCATTTGTCACGGTAGTTAATAGCTGTCAGATCGTTAGTTACCATGATAAATTATCCATTCACTATTTCCTCTCTATCGGACTCATTTCTTAATCTTTATGAAAAATGCTCTTCGAAAATTTTCATTTTTTTTTCTACTTTTTTTGATTGGACAATCATAATCTTTAGGGACTCGTGCTATAAAATCCAATGGAAATTTTGTGATATATTTTACATTATGAAGATGGAAAAACAATCGAGATAACGTTCGAGAGATAATCCACCCGGGCCTTAAGGTAAAACCTTGAGATCATAAAATTTAAAAGAATTCATGAAAGTTCCCTATTATATCTTTTTTGATGATCAAAAATATCTAGATCTCCCCAAAAACACAACAGTTGCATTCAGTAGCGAAATGGTAAAACGGTTTAAGTCGACTTATCCCTTAGTTAAGTTGTTGAAGAATATCTTCGAATCTAAAGGAGATAACTAAATTTTCGTAAGAATCTTGTTTGAAACGTAGCTATATATCTATCAGTTAAACGGTCGGTCCTGCCGACAATCCTCGAGCACCATCGGGAACCTTCGGTTGAGCAGTCACGGGATCGCGAAAATCCCGAAAAGTAGTTGAAATCTAGCTAATGAGAAGATCGTACGGGTATTAAATTGTAGCATCCCGTGAAAGTACATCACCTTCCCAAAATCAGTGAATTATCAGAGACAATTATCAAAGACATTTAAAGTTGTTTAACAATTCAGTACATCAACCTCTGTATTAATATTTTGAGACACTCAGGCCCGGTTGCACCGAGCCCTGTTAGCTATTTTTACCCCAGGATAAATTTATCCAGGTGTAATCCTTATGGACTAACAGACCATTATCTGGCGGTTTAGTTAACAGACGATGGTGCAACCGGGCCTCAACAAACTAGTTGAAACCAAAGTGTAAAAATAACAATTAAAGAAGTGGTTCGATTTCACTAAATATAGTGAAGTTTTTAGAATTCAGCGCTTCAATTAATTTCCAGCCCATCCTGAAACAACACCTCCCACATCCACCCTAAAATTAGATCCTCATCTCAAACAAATCTTTTTTCTAGAGCAAACTGAGTGCTACAAAAAAGGTCTGAACAAAAATTTTGCTATCTCCCTTAGATTCCCAGATATTCACTAAAAACTGGTCAATAGTCAAAATCGACTTAAGGCCCGGGTGTACTATCTTTCGAACGTTATCTCGATGTTTTTTTTTATCTTTCGTCATCTGAAATTGTCAATTAAATCCTGCATCATGCAGAAGTTTTGAAAAATTATGAATAAATAATCAAAAAAAAAGGAGAAAGAATTCTTAATTTTTTCAAAGAGCATNAAAAAAAAAGTAGAAACAATTCGCAATTTTTTCAAAGAGCATTTTTAATTTATATTCAGAATAAGTTGAATAACAAGAAATTGAAAAATGTATCTGATTTACGGTGACAAATGGCGGCCTGTCACCCGATATCATACAGGGGGAAGACTGATTTCGTGATTTTTTAATCACACTTTTATCACATAAAAATGGCAGATGACTACATACCACTGTTTTGAAAATTGAGATACTTAGCTGTCACTTCCCATGAGGAGTCAGTGTTTTGTTATCTACCATGGAAAATGCCAGCTAATAGATAATTTGCCACAGCGAATCAGATATTTGTAATTTCCACTTTTTTCAACTCACTCTGAATCTCAATTAAAAAGCTCTTTGAAAAAGTTCAGAATTTTTTCTATTTTGTTTTATCATTCTATCATAATTTTTGGGAATTTCTACATGATGTACCACTCAATTGACAATTTTGGATTGCGAAAGATAAAAAAAATCCAGATAACTTTCGAAAGATAGTACACCCGGGCCTTAAACCGTTTTACCACTTCGCTACAGAATTGATCATTGAAAAAATCCGTTAATCGCCTTCCAGGTACATCAAAAAAATTTGAAGACAGTATTGAAGAGCCCGAGTACATCCCCTACAAGTCCGCGAACCGAGTGGTCTACCTAAATGAGGACACTATGGACTGTAGCTATTCGGAGCCCGCGGGGACTCCTCGCACCCATCCCACTGTCACCGACCCCACCTCGCCTGACCTCTTCAACACCGACTCCGAAAGTGACTCCCCGAGGCCCAAAAACTCCTCATTCACCCGTATCCTCTCCCAGCCCAGCATCACCATCTCCCCCCGAAAACCAAGCCTCAGTGAACAAATCCTGAGGTCCGACGAGTACCTCTTCAAAAGGATCAGCAAGTCCCTCACAGGAGTCCCTCCCCCTCCCTCCCACACGATTTCCCAGAGTGACTGCACGGATTTCCTAAATTGTATTAAGCAAAATCGTGAATATTTCTGGGCGAATCCGTTCAAAGACGAGAAAAGTCTGGAGACAGTTCCTGAATCAGTAAAGAGTCCCCAAAAGTGCGAGGGAAAACCTCTGATGATCCGTAGACCAGGAGGTTTACGCAATTTAACGAATGCCTTTGACGCCTGTGATGCCTCGAGCAGCTCAATATCGACGACGAAAACCTCGGACACGAATACCACAACAGATTTTGCCGATACGAGTGTACAAAGCACGACAGACCTCAGTAGAGATCTCAGCAGGGATGTTCAGAAGAGTCTCGAGGGGAGTGAGACCACCAGCGTAGTCTCCGAGAGCAATTTACCAGTGATAAAGGACGTTAGTACTAAACGAGTGACGTTTGATGTTCCTGAGGAGGAGCATCTAGCTATTTTTAAGACGATAGAGGAGAGCCATGCTAAAGCTTTACCCTGGCCCATTATCTACCAGCACAAGAGCCAAGGGATTCATTATAATAGGTGGGTAAAAAAGACTTCCTGATTGTTTTTTAATCTTCCGTTTCTCCTCTTAGACATTTACGAGACCGAACGCGTGCTACAGCGCGCTGTAATTGTAACAATCATAACTGAAAATCTGACGGGAACCAATGAGGAATAGGCGTGACAGACTTGCGAAATATCGATAGTTATCGACTTTAAGATGTTATCTGGATTTTTTTTATCTTTCGTAATCCAAAATTGTCAATTAAGTGATACATCATGTAGAAATTCCCAAAAATGATGATAGAATGATTTTTAAAAAATAGAAAAAATTCTGAACTTTTTCAAAAAGCGTTTTTAATTGAGATTCAGAATGAGTTGAAAAAAGTGGAAATTGCAAATATCTGATTCGCTGTGGCAAACTGTCTATTAGCTGTCATTTTCCGCGGTGGGATTTGAACTCGGAACGTTTCGCATGTGAGGGAACAAACTTACCCACTGCGCCAAGCCACCGGGAATTGTCAATATCTTCATTTATAAGTAAAAATATTGACAATTAGAGAAGATCACGAAACATCCCATTTTGCCCGACTCTCCCCTAATTTTTCGCATTTCAACAGAAATAGATTCATGGAGGACTTCGAGAACCTCTCCACGAGGCTGTGTCAGAGGTACGTGGGTAACGAGACCCAGTCGACGTGCACTCCATGGTTCACAAAACAGGCCCCATCGAGTGTGAAAAAACGCAGCTTGCTGGGTCGAAGGAATATAGGTCAGAGCCCGGGAAAACGTCTGAGTCACTTGGCGAGGAGACGGAGGACTTTCTCATCTGCTAATCTCCAGGGAATGGCTGAGAAACGACAACTGGTGCTCAATCTCAAGAAACCGGGGATGAAGAAGGGGAAGAGTCCGAGGGGAAAGAGTCCTAGGGGGAAGAGTCCAAGGGGGAAGAGTCCTAGGGGCTCTGCGAAGAAGAGATTGGCTAGGAAATTGTTGATGGAGGGACCCAGTCCGAGGAAGGTCAAGCTGGAGACGTCTAAACGTGCCCTGTTCCAGAGTCCTCCCACTGATCGTGCTGGACCCAGTGTTGTCAGCAATCATCAGTCCAGTAACCCTCAGAGGATAAAACGGGCGCTGTTTCCCACTCCGAAGAAAAAGGAAGAAGTGGTGGCGGGAGGGGAGGACAGGAAGGGGGAGGAGACGAAGAAGAGGAAGAGCGAGGAGGATCTGGAGGGACCAAAGAGCAAGTGGGCGAGGAGTCTGAGCTTCGACTGCTCACATGTGGAGAATTCTAGGGATTCGCAGACACAGATCAGTGAAATGAGTGATATTAATCGAAGGGTATGTGTTATGTATTTCGTTGATTTTTAAAAATATTAGGTGGTTTTAGGAGATATCGAGGATATCCAAGTATTTTGACGGAATTATTTTGCCAACCGCCTGCATTCATTTCAAAATTTCTCCTCCAGGGAATTTGACGCTTCTCGGATACTCTAACGTCCTCAGTGAATTAATACAAAAAAATCCAGTTATTATTCCCAACGTTTCCAAAATAACGAAGAAATTCCAGAGTATTTTGCTTCCGAATGGAAGCTTTGTAATCGGTCGAATGCAAGTTTTGGATTTTTTGTGTTATATGAACCCATTATGGTCCGAGAAGTCCAAAAGTGCAATTTTTCAAATCTGTCTATATGGATTGGATGCGACAAAGTTTATCTTCAATTGTTGGCTGATGAATAATTGGGATTCAAAATTTAAAACTAGAATTTAAAAGTAGAAATTTAAAACTGCAATTTAAAACTAGAAGACCTAGAGGAATTCTATTAACGGATTCAGAGTCACACTGTTAAAAATTTTTTACTGAAATTGCCGGTAAGAATCTTGGAAATTTCTAACTTGTGATATTTCCATTAAAAATTCAAGGAATTTTGTCATTGAATATTCATAATTTCATGGAGAAATCCGTGAGAATGGTAAATTGCAGTTTAATTATTCCAGTAAATTTAATGAAAAATCAGGAAAATTTCCAGAAATCTCTCCTTGAATTCCAGATTCCTCTAAATTTTCAAGGAATTCCTGCAAAAATTCCGGTAATTCCAAGAATTTTAAATGAATTCCCTGAAAATTCAAGGGAATTTGACAGTGAATATTTATTTTCAGTTGAAAATTCATGTGAATTGTCGAATTTTCGTTTTCCTACCGCTAAAAATTGGGACTTCCCATGAATGTTCAGAGAAACTTAAAATTCCATTGACTTTTTCCCCTTAAATGAAATTCAACGTCTTTTTCCGTAAATTTCAGCAAAATTTTTCTAACAGCGCAACGGAATTTAATCTTTCTAATGCGGGTAATCTCATCTCTAGGAGAGCCAGGATCCAAATTTTGTCGGACTGCGTAATTAAAACAAAATTGCGTATCGGATTAAAAGTGAAGAATGGTTCAGAGATATCTTCCGCTCAACCTCTACTTTTTTTTAATCAAATGAATTATTATATTCTTGTAATTTTCTGTTGCAGAAATTATTATTCGCCGTTTCTGACGCACTCCGAGGTAAAGGAGTATCGGTGGGGCACCCAAAGTTCAAACAATACGCCGGGCAGCTAGCTAAAATCGTTAAAAAATACATGCCAGACTTGGAGAACAGAAATATCCCGAAGAAGCCTGGCAGTACGACCGACAGAATGCTCAAGCTGGCTAAAACCTACGTGCCACTCGTCATAGAGCCGACCGCGTCCAGTTAGTCAAAAAAAATACAATTAAATTAATTATTAATTAATTATTGATGAATTATCAGTGACATGAGCACTCTGACGTTGATTCGCAGTGACGAATTGCTGATTTTACTATTTAACTATTGATTGATTTGACAATTAAGTGTTGAAACGTGGAGAGGAGTGATGAATAAGAGGGGATGAGTCCAAATATTTCATGAAAGTGTATATTGTGTTACTAGTGTGTAAATTTCTACTTTTTCGCACGCACTTGTAACATGTCCTATCCTATTTTTTGTAATGCCTGCCGAGTTCATTGTTCGGAACGGCAGGGGGGCAAAGTGGTTGTTTTTGTGCACGGAATGCGTAAAATTCAAGGTCGTGTACAGTCGAGCACTAAAATTCGTAAACAGAATACATAGAATGCAAGCTCACGCTGTTCAAGAACTTTAGTGCTCGACTGTATAAAATAAATTCTGAGAATTTACATTTTGCACAACCTCTGAACTTTACGCATATCGTGCGGAAAACAAACACTTTACGCCTGCTAAACCATCCTAAGTGAATTTTTTAGGCAAGTTTTGTCACTTGTAATACCACAAGAGCTTCAGAATTATCGGGCATTTTCCGATACGTTCGTTGCAAACAAACGAAGGAGTCAAGTTTTTCCTGAAAAACTTGACGACTTCGTTTGTATGCAGGGAACCTTGAGGAAAATGCCCGATTAATTTTGAAGCTCGTGTGGTATTCGAGGGATTATTTTTCCAATCCAAATGTCGAGCAATATAATTGGCCCATGAGACGAAACTCATAATTGAGAAACGAAAATTGTATAATTAACACAACGACACAATTGAATTCAATCTGTCAGTTTGACGAGGGGTTAATTCGACTGCATGATGTTTTGTTTTTTATATAGCAACTACCAGAGAAAATTATCAAAAAATTATCAGTTGAAAACCCTGTAGCTTGTACCACGTGATGTCGAATAGGCCAATTATATTGCCCGATATTTGGGTTGGAAAAATAATCAAAATTATTTTGCAAATGTCTTTGAGTCTAGTAGATTCGCATAAATACACTACAAAGTTTGTTTAAGATTTTTTTCGATCAGGAAAAAGACGGATTGAGATTGTTCGCTAAATAAAATTCAACATCCAGATAATTTGAAAATTTGACACTTCTACATTATCATTAGGATTACAAGATCGATGAAACTATTAGAAGAAAGTTTAGAAGAAAATGTCAGAAGAACTCGTTTTAGCCCATAAAATTATCTACCCAACAAGTGCTCGGATTTTTTTTTCTAAAAACTCGTTATTTTAGGTCAATTTATGATTCAAAAAAACTTAGCATGAAGAGAAAATCTTGAAATTTGCTATGGGTTAAAAAATTCTCAATATATTTTGCATACTAGAGGTGAATAAAAAGGTATTAAAAAACCCTTTTTGTCGTCCATAAAACGCTCTACAAAAAACGTCTCAAATTTCCTTACAACTTTGAAGAGTTTTGAAATCAAGAGAGATATTAATGAATAGAATACAGATTAAATGCTGTTCAACCAGTCAATGAATCAAGACATGATTGCCTCGATTGAAACTAGAATTCGGAATAACTCGGTTTCCATCAAGTGAAGGTGAATTCAGTATCCAATTACTTTAATTCATGACTAAGTGGCGAAACTATTCAAACCAACTAATTATTCACACCCACATAATAACGCAACTATTCAATTAACGAGTGATTTTAGAAGAAATCATTGAGACATTTTACAGAAAAATTCTGCGACATTTTACTTTGCGATTACTTATTACCCAGATGAATCAATAATTACAAAGAATCTATTTCAAATAGATAAATCTGAATACGATGGGCACAACATCTTTCAAGAGAATTAATTAACGAACATTCGTCTTACAAAATTCTTATACTCCAAAAGATCTTTCAAAATTAGTCCCTGAAACTTAAAAACTTGACATGATTTCCAATCTATTAGAATCTGGTGGAAACTATTGAAAGGGCTAGAAAAAAATGTCATAAGAACTCTTTTAGTTCATAAAATTATCTGAAAAACAAGTACTTAGACATTTCCTCCAGAAAACTTTCGTTATTTCAGATGAATGCATGATTCCAAAATAGTCAACATGAGGAGAAAATCATTAACTCTATCGTGGATTAAAAAATTCTCACTATATTTTGCAAACGAATGGGTGGAAAAAGTATATAGACGACCCTTTTTGTCGCCCAAAAAAATCAGCTGACATGTTTTGCTCAGCTCACTAGTTCTCAAGACATTTCCTGGATTCGTTCGGACTCATTTCCTATCATTTACAACTTCCCTACTAAAATAATTGGTTGCAAATCCGAGACTGTCTTAAAGACTTTATAACAATTCGGTGATGAATTTTACGTGTGACTGTTACCTTCCTACTGGCGCTTCTAACTAGTTGTAAAGATAATTTAACGATAGAACAAAACAAAACAAAAATCATAAAAAAAGGAAATAGATAATTAAACGGGGATGGATTATATTATTTAAGGCTATTTTTATTAGCAATAAAATAGTATATTTTCCAACTTATAAATAAACAATGAAAAGACGCTACTTTGGAAAAAAAATAATATAAAATTGTTTATAATAATTAATGTTTCCTTATTACATTTTATTTTCAGTTACTCAAACATTTCTCTTTCGTCTCTACTAAAAAAATTCCAGTTTTTCTTCATTCGCTTCTCTTTGCACCTGTGGAGAATCGATTTAAGGCTTTTTATCAGCGATAATATAGCAATTACAGTTCAATTACTTATACTTTGCAACTTACAAATAAACAATGAGATAACGTCACTTCGGAGAGGAATAAATTGTGGAAATTTTTATATTCTACTTAAGCTTTGTTTACATTTCACAAACAAAGCAAAAATTTAATTTACACTCTCAGGAATGGGACTCTTCAACTTACATTTGTAATTATTATTAGTGAGTTATCTCCTCGTCCAAAGTAACGAATTAGTACAAAATATAAAAGGATCGATTTACAGTACACAAAGTTGCAACAGTTTAGTACATTTCGAAGTGTTTACGCATTAATATCTTGATCTCTCTTTTAAGAACATGCGACGATGATTTTTAAGGAAAAATCTGTATTGAAGTGGTAATTATGTAATTATCTCAGGAACCAGCGATTCTAGATAATAAAGTCTCCTGACGTTTCGCCCCAGAATGACTTGTTTCTGAGACAATTCCACGAATAACAAAATGAAATGATGACGTACCACTTGGGTACACCGCTCAGCACATGCTTCATTGGTGAAATAAGAAAAACGTGAGAAAATATAAACAAATTGTTTGCGGAAGGTGGGTTAAGTGTCTGTTCATTCGTCGGACTTAGCACCGACTCTGGCTATGACCTCATCCAGGATCTGTGTGAGCTCTTTGTTCTCTTTCGTCTTCTGTTCTACTATTTCAGTCAAGGAGTTGCTCTTCAGCTCCTCCTTCCTCAGGATTGCTCGAAGTTTTACCATCTCGGACTCGTGTTGTTTGCGAATTACATCGAGATCTTGATTTGCCCTGGAAAAATTATTTAATTGATTAAAATGTCTTGTTGGGAGTCGCAAAAATATGAACTAATAGTGAAGGGTCCATATACGTATATGGGCCCAAGCAAAAATGCATGATTCTGTTCAAAACTGGATATTTCCAAAACTGTGACAGATAATCCTATTCCGCCAACGCCATTCGAAAGCTGGATAGTGTAACTTCAATTTCTAATGGTTTTTATAATTTTTCGTGCATCAGAATTTATCGAATCTCAGTGATATTAAGCGCACGTCAGGCTTCGTAACAGAAAGGCCCCGTACGCAAGGGGTTAATAACTCGCTGATGTAATTGAGAGATATCATCAATCAATAAGTGAGACACGAGTGCATTGATTGGTACTAGAACGCGGAATAATTAGGATTTAATCAAGTGATGATTAATTCAATATCAAATTGCTTCAACTCACGAGTGAAGTGCTAAAACCATTCAAGTTAAGAAATTATTCTCAAATCCGTAGTAATGAAACTATTTCGGTAATTAGTTATTTCAGGAGAAATCATTGAAGGAAATTTTTCTTGCTAATTCCTCCCGTTGCAACGGAACAATTAGGATTCAATCAAGTGATGATTAATTCAATATCCAATTGCTTCAACTCACGAGTAAAGTGTTAAAACCATTCAAGTTTAGGAATTATTCGCAGATGCGTAGTAATGAAACTATCTTGTTAAATACTCATTTCAGGAGAAATTGTTCAGGGGAATTTTGTCGCTAATTCCTCCAGTTGCAAAGAAAATCCTTTGGAAATTTTGCTCATTATCGAGATGAATTAATAAGGATAAAAAAACTCGACGTTCTCCCAGGAGAATTCATCAGCAGACCTTTCTAGTTACAAAAATTTTCAGCTCAAAAAGAAAAATGAGTAGATAGACCTAGAAATGCCCAAAAAATATTCCTTAATACCCTCTTGTCTACGCTCTCCCCAGATAAATGTAGTTTTAACTGATAAACCAACATTTAGCATGAATCCATTACGAGACTTGATTTCTGAAAATCCATCAAAACTTTCAACGCCCTAGGTACACGAATGAAAAAATCGTATAGAAATTTCCCGCACGGAATGCGTATCCAATTTCTATAAATTTTCGTATATGATATTTGGATATTTCTATACGGATATTTTTATACAAATTATTTCTATACGATTTCTATAGGTTTGATCCTATACGACCCACTGCCACATGTACACAAATATTTCGTATGCAGTTGTGATATTTCTCAATGTTTGTTTTTCTCTGGAGCGTTTGGACATCTTTCGTATGAAAACAGAAATTTATGTGTAGAAATAATTCGTATAGAAAATATTCCTATAGAAATATCCGAATATCATATCCGGAAATCCTATAAAATTTCTGTACGCAATCCATATAGAAAATTTCTATACGATTTTTTCATAAGTGTACGAGGTCGATACATCGTATCGACCCATGCGAGTGTGAACGCTTGTTTTCAAAATTAATTATTTTCAAATCTATGAGGAATATTCGAGTCGTATTAAGCACACATTACGTGCGGTCACAGAACGGCCCCGTCCGTGAGGGTTTCAAACCTGATATTCGAATATCACTTGACCTTCGCCGAGTTCTTCCATGCCTTGAAAATATTTCCACCCCCAAAACGAGACCGACTTCCTATCCTTTCACCACTCCATTCCTTTCCTCAAAATAGAAACAAGGCTTCAATCAATCAATCAATCCACCTACCTCTCCCCCCAATAGCCCGACAATCCGAACTCCAATGAATAAAGTTTCAATAACTTTCTTCTCAAGCCGCGCGTCAACATGACTCTTGATCTGTTCCTATCTGTTTTCGAAATTGTCCATGCATTAGAAATAATGGAATGGGAGTCGTATTGAGCCCATATTATGCTTGGTAACAGAAGGGCCCCATCCGTGAGGGTTTGAAACCTGCACGAATATCGTTTGACCTTCGCAGAGTCCTTCCATGCTTTGAAAATATCCCCACCCCCAAAACTAGAGAAACTTCCGATCATTTCACCACTCCTTCCCTCAAAATAGAAACAAGGCTCCAATCAGTCAATCAATCCCCTCTTCCTCAATTACCCTAAATCCAAACTGCAATCAATAAAGCCCCTGTAACTTACTTTTCAAGCCGTGCAGCAGCATGACTCTTCATCTGTTCCTATCTGTTCTCCAACGCAATTAAATACCGGTTTCATAATTTTCCATTCATTAGAAATAATCGAATTCATTGACCTTTGCAGAATCCTTCCATGCAAATTACAGTGGAATTCTTTCATAAAATTAGGAAATATGCTCTTGAATTTTCAATTCATTGAAAAAATTCAATTTAAATGGGGAAATTTTCGTCTTTTTGCTGCTCAAAAAATTGGAATTTCTTCATGATTTCTTTCCCTTCAAGGATATCCAAGTATCTTTTACAGTTTGGTACTGGGTACACTATAGATTCAACCATTTTCAATCATCAAATTTGTCAATTAAATTGCGGGAGAAAAATTCGAAAAAATCATGAATATTCCGCGTCATTAAAATTACATTTTGCACAGAATATTTTTTTTAAACATTCGTTGTTTATAAATAAATAATTGAAATTGTTTAAACATTCATAAACCGAATTTTTTTAGGCATAAAATCGATTTCCGATAAAATTCTGAATACAAATAAATTTGGTACGATTCAGAATAAACGATTTTTTTGTGGCAAATGAATAGTTTATAAATTATTTCTACAAAATGCTCCTAACTTTGAAAAATTGCAATTTTTAAAGTATTTCATCGATCTTCCTCCAAAAGCAAACTTTTGAATTTTTTTTTCAAATTTTGACAATATTTTCTAACGATTTAATATATTCAAATTCAAGGGTGCAAAGTTTAAATAAAAAATCATTGTAAAATGTCCAGAAAATTAGGGTCAAATGGGACTCAAGCGAAAGCTCTGATGTTCCACTACAAAAGTAGAAAAGCATTCCACTGCAGATAAAATATCCAAAGTACTTGGATATCCTCAAATGAAATAATAATAATATGACGGCAATATTGTAACTTGGAGACAAAATATTTCTTAAAGAACTTCCCTCTGTAAAACATATTTTTATCCTGAAAAGTCACGGTCTTGTCTGAATGATCCGCCCCTTGAGCCAACTATTTCGTTGTTGTTGAAAGCAGCGCACTTATTCATATTTTAGACTTTCAAATTCGAACCTAACAATTTTTTTTTTTCTAATTTTCAACTAACGATTTCGTTGTCCAAACAAGACTTGTCCGAGAACTTGTTCGTTTTTTTCTCAGTGCACTCCTCTCCTTCTCTCAAAATAGAAACGAATCAGATCAGCCCATCAATCTCCCCTCCTCCCGCCCCTTCGGCCCTCCCCAATTACCCTAAAATTCAAATTCCAATAAAAAAATCCTCAACAACTTACTTTTCAAGCCGCGCAGCAGCATGACTCTTGATCTGTTCATATCTGTTCTCCAACGCCTTAATAATCTCCACATTCTCCGCGAGACTCTCCTTCAACGCGCTCTCATTACTCTTCAACGTAGTAACAACAATCTTGAGCCTCTCATACTTAGCATGAACATCATTGAAAGCAGCCTCACTAGCCATCAGATGATCCTTGGTCTCCTGCAGCTCCTCCATCAGCACCCCCTTCTCCCCATCCAAACTCTTCTTATCCCGTTCCCTCTCAGCCACCAGCCGACTTATCGACTTCTCATACTCATCCACAACGACATTAATCTGATTCTTATTCTTAATTTCCTGCGCCAGCTGCCTCTGCAGCTGACTGACAGTCTCATTGAAGGACTCCCTCTGCTTCTCAGCCTCACACCTCTCCCTCTCCCTCTCCATCTTCTCCTTCTCCAGCTGCTCCTCAAGCTGAAGAACAGTCGACCTCACCAGCTCCAACTCCTTCGCCATTGCTAAATCAACGACTGGCACAGGCTCAGGTGTCTTCTCCACAACCTCGATCTTCTCCACCACCTCCTCATGCTTCTGGATCGCAGCAGCAGGCATTGGACTGTAAAACAGCAGTCTGTCGATAGCAGCAATAGCAGGATTCCTCTTGGGGGTTGTGATACTAGGCAGAGCCTCTGAGTCCTTGTCTCCGTTCCTCTCGTCATTGGGTGGACTCGCTGCATTCCCCTGAGGCAACATACTCACATTCGAAACCAGGGGATCGAACTTTATGAACAGCGACTCCCTCAATCTATCAACCGTTGATCTGGCTGACGTCTGGGACTCGAAGAAGTCGAAGGTCGATGGATCCCTGAATAATTCGTTGGAATTTGCTGACGCAAGGTTGTCGTTGTCCTCTGTAAGTTCGAGGGAGGCATTAATTATCTCGTGGGCGATTGTCTCAGCCTCCAGGCGAAGCTTCTCGAATACCCCAGAGGGCTCCTCAGGGTTCTGGCTCGTTGGGGTGATGTCGTCTGTTGCGTCGAAGAACCTCTGGTCGTTGTCAATTGCTGTTGGGGTTTTGTCCTCGCTGTCTGCGGACTGGAAGTCGTTCGGGGGTGGAAGGTAGTCGAGACCTGTGCTCTGGCGTTTTGGGAGGAAGTCCAGATAGTCTGAGGGGGTAGGAATCGGGGGGAAGGGTCTGGGGTGGGTCTCAGTGCTCTGACGCTGGGGCTTGAAAGCCTCGTACTGTTCGGACTCTGGGACGTCGAGGATGTCGTCCGTCTCCTGGAGAGTTATTGTTCTGTCGAGCTCCTCGGGGTCCGATGTCTCCTCGAGAGGTGCCTCTAGGGTGTTGGGGGGCTCTTGGGACTCTGTGAAAACTACCTCTGGGGGCGATCCTGAAGCTTCGATTGGTTGGTGTGTCGAGGCTAGGATGAATTCTGTGGATGACTCTTCTGGAACGAGGGATGGCTCGTTGGAGCTTTCTAGGGCCTTTTGACCCTCGACGAATGTCGGCTCGGTTACGAAGGGGATGCAGTGACCAGAGGTGTCCGGTATCTTCAGGGATGCTGAGCTTTCCGCTTTTGAGGCTGAGTCAACTGCACACGAATCTGGCTGATCTGGTTGCGGTTGTGGTTGAGGGGAGACACTTCTTTTTGGATCCTTCACGGGAAATGGCTCTTTGAACTCGCCACTAGACTTCAGGCAGATGCTCTGGAGAGTTGGCAGGGATGGACATTCAGAGTCGAATGTCACGTCACCGACGCTGATTTTTTGGTATGTTGTGTCAGCAACTGATGATGTGGTGGTTGATTGATTTAGTTCAGGGGTTTTTCGACCCTGAGGGTTGGACGAAGACGTTTGCAGTAGGGATTCAGGAGCTGTTTGGTATTCTGGGGAGTTCACGTGGTCATTTGGGAGTGTTATTGTCACGTTTGGACAGGTTAATTGCGGGGCTTCAGGGTTGAGCTGTTGTTCGGTGAGGCCTAGTGGTGAGGAACGTCCGGAGAGGACTTGAGTTCCGTTGAGGTCGGCGCCGAGGCTCTGGGGCGCATCGTTGGGGAGATCTGTGGTTCTGTTGTGGATGGGCTCGTCTGAGGCGGAGGCGAAGGATGCGTCGAAGAGGGATTGGTCGGCGGTGAGGGTGTCCTCGAGGCGGATCCCTGCGCAGGCTGAGATCAGGTCGTCGAGGCCGGAGACCTCGAGATTCGTGTAGGAGGCGTCTGCGCGGGTCGGGCTTGTGGGGATTGAAGAGACTGTGGACGCGAGACTTTGGAAGCTACTTGCTGAGGAGATGCTGTTGGTCTCGGGGGCGTGAGACGCGTCGGTAAACTCACGGGCGAACTTTACCTTAACCTCGTGCTCCGGCAGCTTCGCGGAATCATTGACGGCCTGGAATGGAGAAGAGGGGCGGGTCATTTATTGATTTTTATTTAATCATGCTTCAAGTTAAGGGTGCCAAGTGAATTTGGCGATGACCTTGAAAATTGACATTCACCAACAAAGTTATAATTTTTTTAATTAATAGTAATAGACAGATGGTGTACATCGGTGACAATTTTAAAATTTTAGAACNTTGAAGATATGGGGAATGATGTGTTCAATGTGATGGCGACAAAAAACAATGGGGTACCGGGGTGAATAAGAGAGATATTTCAACCCGCCGTACCCATTTGATCCCATGCTTTCTCGAGGTTCGTCACGCGAAATAGAGGATTTTCCGCATTTATTTTCTCGATGTCTAGTTCCGGTTGCGGGTTTGAAATTTCGTCGGATGGATGAATACATATTTCTCCAATGATGGAGGGAAAGAAAAAATTTTTTTTGAATCTTTTTTCAAATTCACTTGGCACTCTTAAGGTGTTTCGTCTGTAGATCACAGGGGGGTGAAACGGAAAGGGAGTCTTATTGTTCTTGAGCCCTGATTCAATCGCTGAGCACGAAATTTTCCTATTTTCAAGTAACTATTTAAGTGGAGGAGAGTCAAATAATCATATGTACAAATGTTTTTAAGTAATGTACAAACTCTTTCGCACCAAGAAAACATTTGTACACTCCTAGATTTGTCTAAGACAAATCTTCTGCTGTCGAATCTTTCGCAAGTTTCAGCTTAATTTGTTTCTCACCACCTACGGGTGTCAAATAATTTTTATTGGACGTTTTTCTAATTATTGAAATAATATTAAAATGCGTTTCGAATTGGTAAACCTGTCGAGTGTTTTTTCTCTCTCAATTCCATGATCCAACTCATACCTTTCCCATGATGCTCACTGACATTCGAATCACGCGCCTGCGCGTGAGGGCGTAATTGCCCCGAAACTCATAATTTTCCGAATCATTTGTTCAAATAACTTTCCTATGAAATCTGAAACTTATACGTGTTCTCAAGAAAGATTTAATTTATCACCCACTAGTTTTTTATCAATAGTTCATTATTTTCTTAGGTGCCATGGAAATTTCCCCCATTGAGAGTGGGGTAACCTCGGAGGTTATAGCTGGAGGAGTTACAAAAACATCAAAATTTCATTATGAGACTGAGATCAGAAAAAAATGTGCAAGAATTCTTAATGATGCAGCATACTCAGAATTTTCTTTCATGAATTTTCCAATTTTGTTTCATTCTTTTGACTTTTCAGGAGAAACACCTTAAGGACACATCGAGTATTTACAGTCTTTACGGTATTTGCATATGAAAAAAACTGGTGATAAAAAAATTTGATGATCAATATTTTCCATCTTCGAGTGAACCTTGGTGACGTGATTATTTTCGGGTTTAAAAACATCGTTTTGGTATCTGTTATATGTCATTGGGCGCGAGAAACCACGATTTAATTATTAAGAATTCGCGACTTTTGGGCCTGATGACATAACATATTTTTATATGATACGTGCGTGTAACCGCATGGGTTTCAGTTGACTATAGTCAA